ATTGTAATTGCCTAATCTAGGTAAAAAACTAAAAAATGACACCTAATTAATTGAATTCTAATTGTAATTGCCTAATCTAGGTAAAAAACTAAAAGAGGACACCTAATTAATTATTCTAATTGTAATTGCCTAATGGACCTTCTATTTCTAGCAGAAGTCTAGAAGACTAGTAGGAATTAGGAAACTATTCAAACTAGGAAGTAGGAACTACCAAACTAGTAGAAGAAAGACTAGTTCGGTTCAGTTCGGGTCGGTTTTGGTTTTCTTATGTGAAAACCGAAACCGACCCGAGATATCGATTTTTGTATGTGCCCAACCCGAAACTGACCAGTACAAATGAAAACCCGGCCAACTCGGGTTGGGTCGGTCCGGGTTGGTCGGTTTGGTTAGGTTGGGCATTCTTATGAACAGCCCTACTCCAAATGCGCGAACGATGCCCTGAGGGTGCCTGGACTGAAGGCGAACAGGGTTTGAGGGTAGTATAAGGAATGAAGTAGGAACTAAGTGAAACATAGAATTACTGAAATAACCTCCGACCAAAGTATCTTGCAAGGTGAGCGAATATATTCAAGATGTCTCATCACAGAGACCGGATCTGCTCTCACACCTAGCGCCTCACACACACATCCTACGGAAACATCTCCCGTACTTATTAGTTATTACTAGTAATTAAGCATGTGCGTTTGCACGTATGAATTTTTTTTCATATTAATTACTTGAGGTTTAGATATATCATAGACAGAAATTGGAAATTAATAAAAGTAACAATATGGTTAAAAATAAACTAAAAAACTTGTACTAAATGTGAAGTTGCAAAAATTTTAAATTACAATAACAATTACTACTATTACTACTACTAAATTTTGTATTCCATTTTTGTCTTAAATAAAAATAATTTTTATTTTAACAATTATTTTTATTTAATATGATGATTATAAAACATTAGAAATGTTCCAAAATGTCTTTGACAAAACTCTATACTTTTTATCTTTTGTGTTCTATCTTTTTCTTAAATATTTATTATTCAATTATGACATTATGAATTTCTTTAAAAAGTTGAATTATTGACCCACCATTTAAATAAGAAAATAGTTTTTCTATCGGATCAATTTTAAATTACATATTTCTTCTACATTATATACATAATTTTTACTTATCACACTTAGTTTTTGTTTGACATAATTAATATATAATTTTTTATATATTCTTTTGATTACTTGTACTTTTTTATTATTTTTTAAATATTTATTATTTAATTATTATATTATCGATTAATCCATTGGACCTAAACCACTAACCCATGACCCAAAAAGAAAAATAGTTTGATTTCTAGGTTGACATTAAATTTTGTAATACATTTCCATCATTGATAAAATTATATCTTATGTATAAAATTTATTGTTGTTTAATATAATGAATGTATAATATTATATATATATATGTATATATCCAATATTTTTTTTATAAATATATAACATTATATCTTATGTATAATATTTAGTTTTGTGATTCTTTGCACTATCTATTTTTATAAATTTTATTATTTGACTTTACCATAATTTCATTTGTAGGTTGATTTTAATTTTTCCATTTCATTTTCATCATTTACAAAAATACTTCTTACATTTCATACTTATTTTTGTTTAGTATAGTGAATATATAATATTAATGACATGCCCAATTCTTTTGTATTATATATTTTAATTTTTTATTATTTAATTATGGTATTAATTCTTATTGGGTTTGACCCCAAATGGTTTAATTGCTTACCCACCACCGAGAGGGAAGAAAATAGTTTTTTTTTAATTATTTTTTAAAATATTTATTTTTATATTATTAAAGTTAATGTTGTGGATTTAATTAGTACAATTTAGTGATGAAAAAAATATATCTTAAATATAGGATTTAATAAGAGAATATACCTTAGATATGAGATTTAATAAGAGATAGTAGGAAAATAGCTTTACTTCTAATTTGTTTTAAATTTTCCATTTTATTTCCATCATTAATAAAAATATTTCTTATTTATCATCAATGTTTTCAACTTGTTGTTGACTTGGTCAATTGAATCATTCGATCCGTCACTCGACTGTGATTCTAGGTTTGGTTTTTGTTGAAACTCTCCCTTTTGGTTAAAAAATGTCTAACTTAGACAATTTAACCATTGACATGTTTGACCCAATAACCAAGTCGTAGGTTGCACACTTAATTATGTGCAAACTTTTGAAAGCCATAACTTTGCACTCCGACGTCCGATTAAGGTTATCTTTTTTTTTAGGATAAATTTCTTAAACTATCCTTATGGTTTAGCTAATTCACTAACTCTACCCTTACTATTTGAAATTTGACTAAGTGTATCCTTACTATTTCTGACAATTGACTAAGTGTACCCTTAACCGTTAAATATAGATGGAAAAGGTAAAATGGTCGTTATACCCGTATGCGAAATTACATTTTTATCCTTGTTTTTAACTTATTCCCTCTCGGCCTCTAGTAGCAACATTTCAGGGGAGCTGCAAAGGTTGGCTTCTCTTCCATCGTCTGAAGATCAACAAAAATGCGTATCCTCGAATCTGGAGCCTGAGTCATGATTAGGATTTTTGCAACGGAAGAATCTCTCATCGGAGATCTTCGTGAACATTTCTTCGAAAAATCTTGAACCAGCAGTGAAGATCTGCGTGGACGGTCTTCAATCGCCGTCAATTGCCGTAAAACGCTTAACCAGCAAAAATGCGTCTCTTGGCGAAGAATAGATCCGAAAATCGAGCACTGATCGGTGAATCCGGTGCCATCCCAGCATTGATACTTCTCCTTTGTTGTATCGATCCCTGGACACAAGAGCACGCAGTAACTGCTTTGTTAAACCTCTCTCTCCACGAAGGGAACAAGTCCCCCATCACGAATGTCGGAGCCATAAAGCCTCTCGTTTACGTTTTGAAAACTGGTACAGAGGTGTCGAAGCAGAACACCGCATGTGCTCTATTCAGCCTCTCGTTAATTGAAGACAACAAGGTTTTAATCGGTGCTTGCGGAGTGATCTTGCCGTTGGTCTCTTTGCTCCAGAACGGATCAAATCGAGGGAAGAATGCGCTTACAACCCTTTACAAGCTCTGTTCTATGAAACAAAACAAAGAGAGGGTCGTTAATGCAGGAACCGTGAAACCGCTGGTGGACTTTGATTTCAGAGCAAGGGAGCGGTTTGACGGAGAAAGCGGTGGTGGTTCTGAGCAGCTTAGTTGCAATCCAAGGGGACAGAACTGCCATAGTTGAAGGAGGGATTGCAGTTTTGGTTGAAGCGATCGAAGATGGGTTGGTGAAAGGGAAAGAGTTCGCGGTACTGACGCTTCTGCAACTATGCGTAGATAGTGTACGGAACAGAGGATTGTTGGTGAGAGAAGTGGGATCCCGTCGCTTGTTGCACTCTCTTAGACGGGCATGACCGCCATTCGGTAGAAGTCCGTGGTGGTTCCAACGCCGTTCGTCGGCGACTTGAGTCAACTTCCGCCGGACCTCCGCCGTCCGGTATTTGCAGTGACCGCCGTCGGTGACGATAGCGATGGCAATCTATATGGGAGGGAAGTTAAGTTAAAAACATGGATAAAAATGTAATTGCGCATAGAGGTATAATGGGTATTTTACCTTTTTGTCTATATTTAACGGTCAAGGGTACACTTAGTCAATTTTCAGAAACAATAAAGGTACATTTAGTCAATTTTTAAACAGGTAAAGTTAGTCAATTAGCTAAATCATAAGGGTAGTTTAAGAAATTTATATTTTTTTTTTATTTTGAGTAACTTTTAAAGATCTATACATCCCAAGGGAATTATGTGACTTGCCTTGCTATTTTTGTAAAAAAAAAACTTTTATTTGGCCCTAAATTGCTATTTTTAATATTTTTTATAAATAAAAAATAAAAAACGGATTAAAAAAATAAATAAATATAACATAATACATATATTTTATGTAATATATGTAAAACATAACTATGATATAACTAAAACATAATTATACTATTTATTGATAAAATATATAATTTTACACACACATACATAGTGTTGACGTAGAGCGGTTTGATTCGTTTGTTGATAGTCAAACTGGTGACCTGTGACTCGAAGGCAAAAGCGGGTCGACCTCTGGGTCGGTTTTTAAAACATTGTTTATCATACTTATTATTGTTTAATATGTCAAATATATGATGTTAAAAACGTTCCCATTTTCTTAATTTCTATATTTTTGAATTTTATTATTTAATTGTGACAACATGGATTGGCCCCTTTGACCCAAATGGTTTAATTTCCTACTACCACCTAGATAAAAACACTATTTTTTTCAGGTAGATTTTAAAAGTAAGTTTTTATGTTATTAAAATTATTAATTTATTATGTATGTATTTAATTATAGAATTCAATGACAAGGAGAAATAAAGAAGTCTTAAATATATGATTCAATGAAGATGAATATAAATTAATATCTTAAATGTTGGATTTAATGAAAGATAATTGAATGCATTGAATATCTTAAAATAAATCTTTTCAATTCATTTAATATCAATAACTAATTATCCTATTTGCTCTTATTTTTTATCAATAAATTTAAATATAAAAAGATATATTTTGTCATCACATATAGATTCACGGGAGATGCTCCAATGCATGGTGGATGTCGCTGTGAGGCGCCCATTTGTGAGGAGCAGATCCCGTCACCTCATCACATGCCTCCCTCATCCCAATGGCCCAGTCTAAAATGAACCAAGGTCAGTCTGACCAGAAGCAAGTAATGATCCAATGAAAGCGCTCTCATTGTGTAAGTTATGAGCGCCCTATCGTATTTTATATCACTTATTAAGTAGAGAAAGAGAATTCAGGTAAAAATAAATTTGCAAACTTTTTATTTTTTTATCCAATGATCAACAAACACCGTAGGGGTACCAAATGAGAGCGTGTTCACTATATCACCACTTTTTTCGAAAAAAAAAGAAAAATAAACACGATATTACCACTTCGGAGGCTCTTTCCGACGTGGATTCTCATAGGAGATTCTCCCCGTTGAAATTTGAATAGTAGAACTGAAGCTCCTCCCCATGGATCCGAAGATGATCTAAAGTCTAAACCCCTACTCTGCAAATCTCCTTAAAGTCAGCTTATTCGACCCGATCCCTGCAACTATTTGATCTCCGTTGAAGGATCATCTGCACCTCCTGTCCTGAGATCAACGTCAAAAATGGCGGTTCCTGTCGTTCGGTTCCCGATCATTCTTCTGGTGCGGGTAATGGGGATCGTGGTCTCCATTCTGGTTCTTACATGGGCCTTGCGTTACAGGGGAGGATTGGCTCTCATCTCCGAAAACAAAGATCTCATCTTTAATGTAAGTCTTCCATATGCCCTCAATGCTTCGATCCGATTACTTCTGTTTGATTTCACATTTTTTTCCTTTTCATTCAAGGGCTTTCTTGACCTGTTTGAAGAGGAAAAGTGTTCTTCTCTCTTCATTCACAACTAAATCTACTAGCGCCTTTATTCGAGATGATAGAGTGGTAAAATTAGGTCTTAGTTGTCGTATATAGTTATATTTCCCCCATATCGGCGTTTTTCAGTTAGAGCTTGATTTTGGTGCTAATATGATTAATTTTTAACTTTTTAAAAACAATAAAGTGTTTTATGGCGCCACAATTATTTGGTCATGGATTTGAAACGCCGGGACAATGTGAGAGTTGACAAAGAGAAATACACCGTGCTCTTCTTCAGAAAGCTGAAGTGAATGGTGCTGCATGGGTGTTCTAGTACTATCGTCCTCTTTCAACCATGGAGCGTGTAGCATCCTAGGCGGTTAACATAGAAATCACATTTTTCTTAGTCCTACAAGTTGAATTTCCAATGTGACCAGGGACTTTTAGTGGACTGAGTTGCCGTAGTTTCAGGTAGCACTGACTACTGAGTCAAGTTTCTCTAGTGATATTGAAGTTCATGCAAGTGTGCCAGGTGTTCTCCAACTAAATCATTATTCATCTTCTTCCCAATAGAAAAAGGATGTATGCCTATTGAAGTCGTGAATATGAAGTAAGTATATTTTTAAGGGTACCATCTTAGCTGAATGGAGGCAATATAATTGTTGTCATGTGTGGGGTTCGTAGGATGTATTCTTGATGATAATGGGTACTCTAAGCCTTATTAGAATTACTTTGTATCAGCTACGTTGTATCTTATTCTTCCATTCCTATCAAGGGATTTCTCTTCTGTCAAATTAGAAGTCCTCAAGTCTTTTCTCACAACTATGTTCACTGAAACAGTGTCATTGTTATAATGGAAAGGGAAGAGGAAGGAAACTGTGGCGTGATTGAATTCAAACGTAATAGCTCCTATTCTTCATATTTCCTGTTCCAATCTGTGATCAAGAATTTATAAATTACTAAAGGATGTTCAACTAGTAGAAGATCAAGATTGTAATCAGTCTTGAATCCTAATAGGTTTTTGGTTTGCAAAAGTAGAAGAAAAGAGAGAGAAAGGAGAAGGAAGAGAAGAGAAACAGGAGAACACAAGGAGTTGAAAGGAGGGACAGATTCTAACACATCTGCCGCCCCCACTCTCTTAGCATTTATAGGTTATGTTCAGTACATAATGGAAATGACAGATCTGCCCTTAGTACTTACATGATAAATAAAGTAAATAAAAACTGCAATAAATAACAGCTGAATTAACAAACTGACCCAAACTGACACTACTATAACTGAAAACAAATAACTACACATGCTGTCCTACGAACACAGTGGGGACCACTGATGTGGGGCCCACATCAGTGTTCTGTACACAACTTATAAATTTACATATCTGCTTAAGAATGAAAAGGTGGTGTTATGCACTTACACTAACATTTAAAATTTGATACATGGGATCCTTGTTAATTTCTAAAATGGACTACTTTTGGACTACAAAGATATTTCCTGACAGTCCCAATAGATTATACACTTGATCAAAATAGTTGGATGGCATTTAGATGTTTGATTTTAAATGAATTATTAAATTCTTATACCATGACAATCTTTACTGAATCTATATTTTGATCATCTATTTATTTGTTCTGTTTTGTTTGTTTGGCTTTACATTTTTTTTTTTTGTAATATTGACATTTTCGTTTCAAAGTTTTTTCTTATACATATGCCTTGACTAATAAGGTCATAATATTCAGTATATTTACTAAATACTAACGTGGAGTGGTTTGCAGGAACGTATAATAACTTATCTTGGTGAATTTGTTTGTGTTCTTGTAGGTCCATCCTGTACTAATGGTAATTGGTCTCATACTCCTGAATGGTGAAGGTAAGCATGCCTTGTATAGGCTTTGAAGTAGATAGCAATAAAAGCTGAAATTTATTATCAAAACATATTAGAAGTTTTCAAAGAAGTAGACTGGCAAAACCATTAATCACTAATTGTAGTGAATGAAATCAGTCATCTACATTAGGAAGTTGCATACCTTTATGGTCATAGGTTGCTATATAAAACTGAGAAGTAGGTTACAAAGCAGGTTGTGTACCTCATCGTGTCAACTTGCATCAACTCTACCCATCATAATTTCCCCTATATTGGTTTTTATTGTTGTTTCAATGTACTCTTTTTTTTTTGTGTGTGTGTGTGCCCAGTTACTTAATTTTCTTAACTATCTAATGGATCACTATAATGAGGGAAATAGAATAAAGTTTCTCCTCCATATCATGCTCAGGACACTTTTGATTCCTGTTCCCCCATCTTCATGAACCCGGCCTCCCTAAATGTACAAATATTGATGTTAGCATCTTGGATAAAGAGCATTTGGAAACTATAGATAAACACTTACATTTTTGGTGATTTTATGTTTATGAAAGATTTTGGCCATTGTGGACATCCCAATGAATTTGGGGTTCCACCTCAAAGGCTAAGTGAGAGGAGCTGCCACTCATCAATTGTTAACAAGGGAGTGATGGGCCTCCCTTGTGAGGAAGAAAAAAAATCTGAAGGCAAGAATGACTCCCAAGCTGAAAACAAGGCAAGATTCTAGGCACTCAAGGGAGGGAGAGGGAAGGTACTAGGCACCCCTCTCTCTTTCTTATCTTGTGAATGCCAAAGTTAATTCTAAAAGAGACTTCCCCCAATCTTATGAAGGCTTTACCATTGATGGAATGTCTTCTCCCATGCTTCAGTCCTCTCTTCTTCCTCTTTCCGGGTGCGGGAAGCCCTTAGAGGAGCAAAGGGACACACCCATCCCTTCTTTATCCAAGGCTTCCCACATTCCTACTTGAGGGGAAGGGAGATTAAAGCATGAGGAGCATATTCCTCATGAATTTCCCTTCGAATTGGAATCATGAGTCCAACAAAGTAAAAACAAATGCAAGATGCAAACAACAAGCTAATAGTGAGAGGGAGAGAAAAAAAACTATTTTAAACTTTGAATGAAAGCAAAAAAATCAAAATACCCAAAACACCTATTAAACAAACACAATTTCTAGCCTAACTACTAGGAGGATCAACTTCATAAGGTCAAACAAGATAAACAACACAACCATAGACATTCGTCCTAGCCCTCTCTCTCCATTGTTAAACAAAAAATAGTCCAAAAAAGAACAAGGAGATAATGATACATGTACTACTAATATTCGGCCTAGTCTTCTTCAATCATCATCAAACTAAATCAAAAAGCATCAAATCCTTAAAGTAATGGAAAAATAAACTAGAGACATCCAACCTAAAACATTTTTTTATGAGAAACATATAGAGAAGAAAGTAAAAACAATCATGAAGGGGATAGGGAATGCTGCTGTAAATCGTTTAGAGGGGTTGGACCTGAGTACCTCTATGTGTGGCTTTTCCTTCAAGGTGTTAGGATCGTGGTGAGAAGGATTTTGATGAATGAACCAGTGGGGAATGCCTTATGCTTGACTGACAGTAGAAAGAATGAAGAGGCTATGCTGAACTCATTGAGATGAGGGGGCTGCAAACCAAAACCGAACCTCCTCCTTGCTTCTTCTTTTTCTAATCTTCTTCCTTCTAACTCCGAACCATGTATTACCGTACGAGAGCTCTTGCTAGTTGTGTTTTTCTCTTTTTTCTTGTGACAAAGAGTATGGAGGGAGGAACAGGCAGGGAGAGGGAGTAGGGAGAAGGATTTCGGTTGGAATAATTTTTCGGTACTAGGAAGAGGTGGGAGGAAGAGCTATTCTTTTTGTTTTTTTTTATATGAAATAAAATGTGCTACACAAGCCAGGGGGAAGCACGACCCCAAAAGTCACTAAAGCAAATAAAATAAAGATCCCTCAGAAGATTACAAGAGTTAAACGAAAAAATAGGAGTAGAAGACATCACCTTGTGAGTGAGCCAATCCGCCGCCTGGTTTGCCTCTCTAAACACATGCCTGTATCAAACACCTTGCTCTAGAAACTCCTTCAACTTAAAGCAACCCAAGATGATGTTCCTAAGATTCCACGGTAGAGAAATCTGTTCTTTTAAGCAGCCAATAACAATCTTCAAGTCCCCCTCAATCATAATTGGGCGGTCATTAAAGTTAAGGGTCAGATTGTGAGCTTCCCGCGTAGCCCAAGCCTCAGCCACATTAATAGAAGTTGTGCCAAGAGTGAAACATTTGGAATCCAAGACCCTGCCCAAATGGTCTCTTACAATTGCCACAACAGAACAAAAACCATCTCTCAAACGAGAGGCATCAAAGTTGATCTTAATTTCACCATACTTGGGGGGATCCAAGTAATACGATTACATTTTTCTTTTCTATAACGTGATCCAACTTGTCTATAAGCTCCTGAAATTTTGCAAACGCCTTGCCCGCCTTCTCGGCAATAAGCATGGGATCATCCTCTTTGTTTTCAAATATTTTCCTATTCCTGTTCTTCCATATTTGCCATAGAATGAACACACACTTTTCCTTTGGAAATTTTTTCTCCGTCATGTCCCTCTTGTGAATGGTAGTCCACCAATTAACCATTCGATTACTCTCCCCATTAAAATTAACAGGATTGACCTCAGCCCAACCCCAAACTTGCTTAGCAATGATGCAGTCCAAGAAAATATGCTTAACATCCTCCCTAATCCCACACCAAACACAGTCCTCAACAATATTAGCACTCCTCTTACGAAGGTTGACCTTAGAGAGGAGCTTGTTGTTAAGGAAAAGATACAAAAAAAAAACCTTTAACTTTGGGGGGAAACTAACATTCCACACCGTCGAAAACCGGTTCAAAGGAGACTTGCAAAGGAAGTTACTATTGCCTAACAGCTCGTAAGCCAACCTCATGGTGAAGGAACCTCTCGGAGTTAAACCCCAGACTAATCTATCTTGTTCACCATCCATCGGAATGAAGACGACTTTAATTTTGTTCCAGCAGTTCACTGGGACTACATTTCGAATTTTTTTCCTCCATCCAAACCCCTTTCTCCTTATCAATATAATCACTTACAACTTTTTCTTCATTTATTGTCCCATAGTTACGGAGATACCCCAATAGGGGACCACCCTTCCTTGGGAGTCTTTTGGACATTGTGAGGGCCTTCCTTCTCTCTAGGTTCGAATGGAATGGAGTGTAAGACTCGCTTTCCATTTTCGTGCCTAATGTTTCTCCTTTTCCAAGTCAAAGAGAAAGTTTTCTTTCTAATCTCTTTCTTGTTGAAAAAGGCAAGGCTGCGTGGCCTTTTATGGGAAGGGAGTAGGATGTGTTGGAATTTCCTAAAAAAGAGTGGGGCACCTAGGAGTTGCTAAAAGGAGAGAGGTTCTATCTATTCTTGGGGTTCAAAGGGGTTTAAAAAATGAAATCCAAGGGCTAGGGTTTTGACCTTTGACAAGTGTTGGGACCCCTTGGCAAATATTTTGAAGTCAAGGGATCAAGGGGAGGGCTTATGTTGTAATTTTCATAAAAAAGGAAGGACAATGATCCTTTTGGACATCCTAGATTGATCTTGAAGCTTTCAAGGAAATCTAATGGCTAGGGGGCTGCCAAGTGTCAGGGGACCTTTTGGAAAACAAAAAACAAAAAAAAAACCATAGTTTAGGGGGGGATTTAAAGGAGAAAGGTCCATGGATGATTTTTGGAAATATAGGGGTCCTAAGCACAAATGAACGCCCAAGATTGCATAATTCTCTCCCAAAGAGATCTAATGGTGGGAAATTAAGCCCATGTGGTCAAAAGTGCATTGGACTATGGGGGAGAACAAATGGGATTCAAGGAAATGGAATCTCAAGTTTTGATATTGGTAGGAAGGGTATTTTTATATGAATTTTTTATGGAAGGAAATTTAGTGGGGTCAGGTCATTTGGGAAGTGTCAGAGGTGTTGGAAGTGTTGGGATCAAAAGGGAAAGCGAACCTTAAGGCTGTGTTTGGTTTGAAGGAAAAAGTAGGGAAAGGTAAGGAAACCTTTACAATCTTGTATAGGTTTCCTTTGCCTTTCCCTTCTTTTCCCTACCTTTTCCTTCAAACCAAACATAGCCCAAGTGTTTCGGCCAATGAGATTGTGAGAATTGGAACCTTCCTAGAAAGAAGGGCAAAATGGGAAATTTTGTGACAAAACTTGACGTGGGGCTGCGTGTGGTTTAGATGGGGCATCAACAATCTTGGAGGGTGTGTTGAGGTGAGATTTTGTGATCAAAGGGATGTGGGGTAATAAGAGTCATCGAATCAGAATCTTTCTTGATAGAAAGGTAAAATGGGTATTTTCAGTTTGGAATTTATTGGATTGTCGATCGGGGTGGGGGGTTCACGAAGGTCTTGGAAAAGTTTGGGAGTCTTGGATGACCTATCACGATGCAAATCTTGAGTTTGGAGAGCAGTGGCCAATAAGGGTAGTCTATTTGGAATATTTTTTAATGAAGGGTAAAACAGTCATTTTAAGATATGAAATTTGATAGCTCGTCAATCTGGAGGTTGATGGAGGTTTTGATGGAGGTTTTGATGGGGTTTGGAGGTGTCGAATGATGTGTTACGACATAGAATATGAAGAGAGACGGTCAATGAGGATGGTTTATTTGGAATCTTTTTGAATAAAGGTTAAAACGCCATTTTAAGATCTAAAATTTGATGGATCTTCGATCAGGAGGTTGATGGGGTTTGGAGGTGTCGAATGATGTGTTACGATGTACATCCTGAATGTGGAGAGGGACGACCACTAAGGATGGTTGACATGACACATTATATTATCTTGAATGTCCCAGCCTCATCCTTTGCTAGACGATGTATTGTCAACCCATACTCTCTCTTCTTTGGCCTTTTGCTCTTTCACTTTTCTTTCTTCTTTGCACATACACATTATATTATTGGCTGTCACTCTCAACACTTGCTAATATCTTTGCAGATCCATCACTAAAGCAACATTAAGCTGTAGACAATCTCCATTATATATGATAAAACTCCATGAAGATTAAACTGAGAGGAAGTTGACATGACATGCCTCTGACACAGACCCATAAATCATAATCTGTTGCTTCTTTATCCATCTGTGATGCTATTGTTATTTAACGTATCAGAAGAATGATGTCAGTTTTTTGTGGTCATATGTCTTGTTCTTTATGGACTTGAATCATCTCTGTGATCTTAAACTTTTATTTTTATGGACTTGTTTTCTTTAATTTTTATTTTCTAATATTTATGCAAGAAAAATCCTAAAGCTTAATAAAACTGCTTCAGTTTTGTCACAATCTTTGTGGCTTTACGGGAGTAGCAATTTAACTATATAAGTAGGGTATCCTTTAACCAGAAGTTCATAAAATATGTAAGGTTTTGGTGTATTCTGAAAAGAGTTTGTAAACTTGTCTAAAGAAAATTCCTTACAATTCTTGGTCCTAAATTCTAACAATGGGTTCACCACAGCCATGCTAGCATACAAGACAGTCATGGGAACCAAAACTTTCAAAAAGGCGGTACATCTTGCAGTACAATTTCTTGCGCTCTGTTTGAGTGTTATTGGAGTTTGGGCTGCTTTGAAATTCCACAATGAAAAGGGCATTGACAATTTCTACAGTTTGCACTCATGGCTGGGTCTAGCTTGCCTATTCCTATTTGGCATCCAGGTCTTTTCTTAACTATCATGCAGCAGTTTTTTACATAAATTACTTTCGTCATGGATGATTTGCTTCTAGAGTTCCATTGATTGAGTTTTCTAAACTGCGTGTGCACAGTGGGCTGCTGGATTTGCAACCTTTTGGTATCCTGGTGGTGGAAGAAACAGCAGAGCTGCTTTACTCCCATGGCATGTATTCTTTGGGGTTTATATTTATGCCCTAGCTGTTGCTACTGCTACCACTGGTATCTTAGAGAAGGCCACTTTCCTTCAAACCAACCAAGTAATCACACGCTACTCAACTGAGGCTTTGTTGGTGAATACCCTCGGCATCTTGATCGTTGTCATGGGTGGTTTTGTTATTCTTGCGGTTATTACTCCCACAATTAGCAAAGGTGATGCCTACCGGCCAATGGAATAGGAAATACATCCATTTTTTGCAGTTGACAGACCAGTAACAGAGATGCATTTTTATCTGAAAAAATCAGAGGGTTTGCTCTTTTAGTGAGAGATTGTAACAGAATAAAATTCATAGTTTTTCGTTTTTGGAAATTTATGTGCCATCTTGTCATTCCATTGTATGATTGCATCTAAAAACAACTAGAGATGATTCTCAAAATACTGAAAGAAAATGATGAAGGGGGTGTTCTCGTATAGTGAATTATTTTTCTTATTGTGAGTTCCAAAAACAAACGAGAGCCATCTGTTTCGAAAACATGTTGGGTGTGCATGTGTTGTTTTCAAAACTGAAAACGAATTGGTTCTTGCTTCCAATGTTTTTCTATCTTATTATCGTCTCTTTCAAATACTTCGTGACTTGCTATGGTGTAAAAAGTGCAAGCAAAATGACTGAAACAAGGTTCAAAGTATTGTATTATATTCGTATTCAGGGTCCTCCAAATGCTAAACAATGAGACTGTCAATTTCAATTGTTGCATATATTAGTATCAGGGGTTCAATGTTCCACCAAAAGGTAGGGGTTCAAGGGCTAAAGTTCCACCATACACTATATTTTCCCAAGTTATAATTGCACGGGCTCCAAATTTTAACCTTAGATATTTTCTTTTAGAAATTAGAGTATATCTATCAACAATTATTAAAGAAATGGTTATTCAAATTTATACATTTATAAAATTAACAAGAATTATATTGATTTTCTAAAACTCACCATCCCTTACAACACCGTTAAAATTGAATTACCCAAGTTGTCCACGTCAACCTAAATGCATATTTCATGACTAAACTGCCCCTAAATGCATATTTCTGGAAATTGAAAGTTAGAAAAAAAATGAAGAGTGTTAACCTTATTTAGTATTTGTCAGAATGACGTCTCTTTGGCACAAAGAGGTGAACCAGACATATATATATACCTCAATTTCGTTACAGCGAGATGAGGAACTGTGTTCCCATCATCATCCCTCAGCTTTACAAAATCATTATCACCCACCGACTCCAACAACAACTTCAGTGCCTCCAGGCGGTCATAATTCACACAGAGGTGTAGAATGGTCCCTCCACGATCCAATTATAGTCAAGCTGCTTGTGGTTTTGTTTGAACCAATTCTTTCAGGACTTCAACTCGGCCTTTCACTGCTGCTAGATGAAGCGAGGTATTCCCATCTTTGTCACGAGCAAAGCAAGTGTTGGGGCGAACCAACAACAAATATCAACATACCCTTTGGCTGATGCCAAGTGAAGAGGTGACTGCCATCTTCTTAAGTCAGCTTCGAGAGCAAGCTCCGGCTTACGCCGTAGAAACTCTCGCACAAAATTGAGGTGACCGAGCAACACCGCTACGTGCAAAGGAGTCTTGCTGACGCAAGATACAATCACCCTATCGAGAATAAGCGGGTCTTCTCGAAGCAATTCAAGCAAGGAAGATACATTCCCTTCCGAAGCTGCTGCGTGAAAACGTTTCTCCGTTCTCTCTCTCTCTCTGCAGATCAATCGCTTAGTAATTGCAGGATATAAATTCGCCTCCTCAGCCCTCCCCTTGATAAATAATGTTGGGAGCAAGAGTCAAGTCGTTGAGTCAGAATATGGTCTTTGATTCTATCAAATCTCCGTCAAAATTCCAGCAGCCATTGGCGACCTCTCCCACATCTTGGCCCTTGCATTCTATGACATCCCCAACCTCACTGGCTCCATCCCTTCATCAATCACAAAGCTTCAGAATCTGGTATCCCTCACCATACGTAGCACCACTCTCCGGCCCCATTCCAGAGTTCCTCAGCCAACTCAAAAATCTCCGGGAGCTGGAGTTGCCCTACAACCAGCTTTCCTCCTCGATCGCGCCTTCCCTCGTCAACCTCAATGAACTGAAGCTTCTTAGCCTGGGATGGAACAGACTCACCGGAAACATACCCAACTCGTTTGGGGGATTCAATGGTGGTTTCTCCATGTTTCTGTCTCACAACCAGCTCTCTGGGACAATTTAACGTGTCAAGAATCGATCTGTCGTATAACAATCTCGTCGGGGACGCATCGATTTTGTTCAGGGAGAATGCAACAGCAACGTCAATCTATCTATCTAATAATCAGCTGGACTTTGATTTTTCCTGTTCTTCAAATTCTCAAACGAAGGGGGAAGCAGCGGCCGATGAAGGGTAAAATGGTAAATTAACAATGCCTGTTAATCAAATCACCTTTATCTCATTGACATGGTAAGTTCTACATATTTTGAAAAGTTAAGGTGGATTTAAAAGTTGGACAATTTCCCTATATTTTTAGTTTTTCTAGGAAGAGGAGTATCGTATGACATGCAATACAGGGGGTATTCATAGGGTGGGGACTGAGCAAGGGGAACGTGGGGTCCTCTTATCTTAGTATAAACCATCAAGCATATATACTTTGTTTTTGTCATATTATTAATGTAAATTTGGAAATTGTAGGATCTCCAACTCCTTGTAGCAGAGGCCTATTGATCAAATTCCTCTGCCACCAATGTTGGGACCCCCTCCATTGTATAGATCCATGAAGCCAAAAAAAAAATGTATTTTTTGAAATTTATTAAATTTCTATTGGGTATGTATCTTAATTTTTCCACATCTGTGTATCTAAAGTAGAGGCGATCATAGGTTGGGTTGGGCTTAGCACATGTGGTAAGGGCTATTGGCCAGGGAACGGGATCTGCTCCTCACACATGGGCGCCTTACAGGCACATCCACCGTGCATTGTAAACATCTCCTGTGAATAATAATTTATAAGTTATAAGTAAGGAAAATGTTCCCAATGCATGATAGGATGTGCGTGCAAAATTGGTGTGAGGCACCCTGTGTGAAGAACAGATCCGGTCTCATCGGCCAGGCCCAGGTCCGGGCCAAGGCCTGCGAGCTTTATGCATATATCAAATTATAATATTTTTATATAAATTATAACATATAATATAAAATAACATACATAAACATGTAAATATGAGCAAGTGAGACATGAAGTATTGGACTCAAATTAGGAATTTATGTGTCGGGCTGAAAATGATCACGAGAGATGTTTCCAATGCATAGTAGAATGTGTATGTGAGGCACCAGGTGTCAGGAGAAGATCCAATTTCAATTCAAAGCATATCCCGATATCTCGTTTGAGGCATGGTTCAACCTTCTAAGTACCCATACATAGCTCAGACCCAACAAAATGCGAAATACTAGGATAGGATTTAAGACAAATGACCATTTTTTTGTGTAATGGATAACCCATAGAGATGAGCTGGCTGGTTCAAAGCTTGAAACTTGAAACAATTTTATTCCATGAGCATAGCCCCTTTGAATTTGCGTGTCGATGCTTTGGGGAAGCAGGGAGCCGACATGCAGCTACAAACATTGTCAAACAAGGTATCAACTTGAAGTTGGAACACTATTCAAATTAGGGAAGCTGAAACCAACACCATTGACACTTGTGTTTGTTTTAAACACCCCCTAATATTTTTTTACCCAAACAAACCCCATCCAACAAAATAAAACTCCGTAAACAAATGATCTTAGACTCCATTTTACCACTTCTGCTTATTTACCGAAGAGAATGTATTGGACTTATCGGCTCTGGAGTCTGGAAGACTGAAGCTCAACCAGACATTAAAAAACCCATTACAAAAAGAAAAAAAGGGGGGGAAGAAGAGCAAAACCATGCAACCACAAATCCACCATAAAGGCATAAAACACATAAAAGAGGAACTTGGGAAAGGAAATCATGTAATTCTTCTTTCCAGATAATCTGTATATGGTAATGGTAATACCGTGTAAAAATAAAACAACATCCCGTAAAATGCAACATTGAGGGAAAACTTAATAAGGGAAAAGAACTCACTGCAACTGAAATGGATGCATACCCAAAAAACTGCTCGGAGAGGCGAAGAAATCGCACTCTTCACTGAGTCAGGTTATGAGAAAAATAAGGGGGGATGGGGAGTAGAAAATCCAATTCCGAAAGGGGAAAGAGCCCCCAAGTCCAAGTGAGCTAGAATAACTCAGGGTCTTATTATCCCAACCACATGAACAAAGGCCAGTAGAGTCTTTTTTTCCTTCTTTTTTGTAAAAGGAGTGAAAACAGACAAGGTTTCATGCTTCAATAATGGAAAATGACCATGTCGGCCCCTCTACATCCATAAGTGTTCTCTTCGGTATTCCCGCACAATGACTGGCACGCTTGTCGGAGGGATCTGGACGAAGCAAAAATCACAAAATATAATTATAACCAACCAATTCAGTATTTGTTTCTTCAATAACTTGTATGCTAAGGAAACTAGAAAAACTAAGACAAAGAAATTAGAAAACCCCAAGGACATCTCACATCTGGTCATTTGTTTCAAGAGTAAGATTGTAAGAACCCTGAACATTAGATAAACTCCAAAAAAGATGGGAGTGTCTATATCAAATAGACATCAGTTTCTGAAATTGTTGAGGAACAGTTCTGTATTTCCATTCTCTTCCCTTAACTTGTTTGGCGTAATTTAATAACTAGAAAGATTAATCATGTTGAGGTAGGAGCCCTAATAAACAGTTTCGTTTGCCATTTCATGATGGCCTAGTTGGCTGGTTGTTAGAGGCATTCCCGAAATGCCACCTTCACCCTTTGATCTCACTAAACCCAATGGTGCAGTCATTAATCTTCTATGTGCATCCTACCACCAGAACTTGGAATCCAGTGCTCATGGATCATGATCATGATTGTGAACATAAGAAAGAAGAAAAGTGCAATGCAACAAACATAAAAGTAATATATTATATATAGACTTCTGCAAAGCATTTTGAGAATGGAAAGAGGCTCAAAGGGCGCAATTTTAAAATTAAAATACAACTCACCATGCCATAATCTGTGATAATCATGGACACATAATCTGAAGGTGTTACATCATACCTGTCAGAACATCAAACAAATATTAGGGCTTAAAAAAGCAGCTGGACCGAGATAAAACTTTTAAAGCTTCCTATTGTTTGGTTCCAACCACTCACATAAGATTCAGAAGTTGCAGATTTTCATTATTAGCCCAATTCTCCAAATGATCAACATCTTCCCTTCCAGGAACCTTTGCAATGACATCAGGATCACCTGCAAGGTAATACAGAAGATGAGCACCCAAGGGAATATGACACTCAAAATCAAGTAACAAAATCCACCCCAAACATCAGCATGTTTCAGAACAGACATACCAAGTTCATTAGAGCAAATTGAATCCAGCTGCACCCTTTCATGAAACTTGTATGCTTCACAGCATATTAAGACTGGGAGACGGAATGCATGAGCAACCATAGCTACACATGCAGTCCCAACCCTTGAATAAACTGTTCCATTACACAGAACTGATGAAGCCCCTAGAAAAACCAATGTCACTTCATGCATTATATAAGATAGAGCATTTATATGTGTATATGTACAACAGAGGCCCTTTGACACCAATCGCCGTAGCAAGGCCTTCCCTTCAAGCTTTGGCCGTGAGTCTACTACCACAACACGAAACTGTCTCCCAAGCTCATGAGCATGTAGAAGTATCATTTCAATAACACAGGATGACCCATATATGAGAAGTACATCTCCATCCCTTATCTTTGTAACAGCATGCTTGACTATAGCTTTGTCAGCAAGTATTATCTTCTCATTTATAAAACGATCTATATCTGAACAAAGAGTTGCTTTTGCTTCTGTCTCAGAAAATGTCAAAGGTAGTTTTGCAATTCGATTCTTTAAGAATCTAATTGCATATCCCATGCTGATTGAAAGGGGCCTGCATTCAATCAGAAATGAAACGTAGCTACTAATTTTCGCAGTCAGGTCTCTACCAAGAGCTTTTTCTGGTGGTGTAGTGTAGTCCTTGATGGCCTCTTTGAAAGCTTGCAGCATTGCAATACAACGTGCATTACTGCCAGATGTATCTCCAGACAAATATTGCAACCCAACCTGATAATAATTGATAAACAATACATTAGAGAAGAGTAAATGGTAAAAATATTGAATATCATTCACATCATGACAGCAGCTGATTTTGATTGCTTCCAGATATAGAGATTGGTTATTTATGACGTCATTCCATGATGCTGAAGAACGAAGTATCCTTTTGGAAACTAGGAAGGAAGAAGTGCATAATGAATTAAAAATCTAAGATAGAAACCCTTCAGATAAGCAGGTTTACATGTCTAAATTTGCAGGCTTTAATTTTATTGATAAAAAAAAAAAAAAAAAATTGCAGGCTTTCTGATTGTCTAGTCATCCATCATTTAGATAACAAGTACCTTGTAAACAGAAGGATGCATTGGCTCAAGTTGGAAAAACCTTGATTCAAGGTCAGGAAGCTGAGTTCCATGCTCATATTGGGGCAAATGTCTAAATAACTCAACTCTATTTCTGGCTTCAGTTTGTTTAACCACTGCACGCCTTTTAGCCTTTTCAACCCTTTGCTTATCATCAAATTGCATGCGTGGATGAGGAACATCCTTCTTCCTATCTTTTTCTGGTCCCTTCCTATCAGAAGATGCCACTGAAGAACCCTCTTTCTTTTGTGAAGCCTTAGCTTTAGCTGGTTTTGCATTTGCTGCAGTCACTCCTCCAGAAGTAGCAGCAGTCTTACTTCCCTCAGCTATGGTCACAATTATGAGATAAGTGCACATAAAGGTCAGACTTTATATATGCAGACCATGTACAAATATGACAGAGACCAGAAAATAATGACTTGTAGACATGATTAGTACCAAACATAACACATCAAAGCAATGCTCAACAAAATGCAAAAGACAACAGATTTATTTGTGCTAAGAGAAGGGTGAGGGAGGGAGAGGGAGGAGGGAGGACAAAATACTAACTATGATGGCCAACATGGGTGCGAGCATGCCAGTGTGGACATGAATATCATAAGTGGGGATACGACTCTCCATTTCTTAAGATCCTGGACGCATATGGATATAGGTATCTCATGTAATATGCTTATAATACATGAGACTGCTGCTTATATTTCCACTGATATGGAAATGGGGATATGACTCTCCGTGCTTTTTTAAGGATAAAAAGAAAATTCATTAAGCTTGAAAAAATCAGTAGATCTCAAAATGCTGGTTGTCAAGTTGACAAACCAACAACATAACAGAAATACACTGAAAGAAACAAAATTACAATGATTCTTTTCCAAAGTGCTCCAAAGACCCCTGAATTTCATAAAATACAGCTCCCCTTGACAACCCCTAAGCTTTAAGTTCCACTTCCACCCAGTCACCTCCCTCTTCACCCCATACTTATTTTCAATTAAACATCATAAGTTTTCCGAATTTGTTTCTTAGAATAGAATTACCTCTCTTCAGACACTTCGAAGCATGTCCCTACTATCTCCCCCCTTCTATCCTTCAAACTGCTACTGTTCCAACAGAGAATCCTGAACTTCCTCCCCTTCTCCCTGTCTTACTTCTCCCCCCAATTCACTCAATCTCGTCCAACCTCTCCTCTTCTCCTCCTTTCTTTTTTTTTTCTTTTTTGATAATTCTCTTCTCCTCCTTTCTCATCCCACCCCTTTATTTTTTTCTAGATATTCCACACTTTATACCTGATTTTTGAAACTAAATGTCATTTTCAAGACTTATTTCCTGCCAACTTTTATAATACAATTTGTTAAAACATACCATTTTACATATTTTAAAAGTGTTAATTCTAGACAGCTAGAGTACATCTAAAAGTATTGATGTGATATCAGGTATTGTATTGTACCCCTGTGGCAGCCCATGGTGCTATTTAGTGAGATTTTCTCTCTGATCTCCAAGTTCATGATTTGAATTGTCTCCTAATTTGTTTTCAGAGGAAGTAAGGTATGACAAAATGAAACCAACTTCTTTGTCCCTCTTTGGTGAGTAAACCAGACTGGCACATAACATCATGGTTGCAATGCATTAGTTCAAGGTACTGGACTACAATATCAATCAAAAGAAAATATCTGGTGTATCCAATAACCTTCAAGGCAGTGATAACACACTTTTCTTAATAATAAAATGAAAAAGAAAATAGATTAAAAGGTAAGACAGTCATAAAGAAGAAAAAAGAATGAAAAGAATGTAGAAACACACTCTAAGATTAATCAGAATGCTGAAAAGAAAAAAACCCAAACCTAGAAAAAAACATACACATCCTTAATTACAATGCAATGGTGCCAGCTAGCTTACTGGTAAAGTCTCTGGCTGGTTGTAGCAGAAACCTGGGATCAAATTCCACCTTTACTAGGGTTTGGGGGTACAGGATTTAGGGGAGGGTTACGACCCCCCATACCCACCCCCCAGTTGTCTGGCCTATTCACATAGCAAAAGGAAAATAATTACAATGCCAATAAAAACAAAAAATAAGTTTGTGTATCTTCACCAGGTACAAACTCATCATGATCGTCAAAGCATCTCATAGACAATAAGGTGTTCTTTTGGATCATGCCGTGCCTTGCCTGGGTATTCTTTTTACATAGGAATTTACAAATTATACAGTAAAAGACCTACCTTTTTTTGACAAATATTGTAAAAGATCAAAACAACCATAAAATGAGACAGGGCTTCAGCCTTCACCATGGAATTCTTCATAATAACCATCTTCTTCTACTTACTATCCTAAGTCTCTTCTCCCTGCATCTGTTTCAGCCCTTCATTTTCTCCAATTTTCTCTGTAATTAACATATACATGCACACACTCTGAATCTCCATTGCATTGGAGATAACAACCAAGTTGCTTTGTTTTTTGTTCATATTGCAATTTAATTTTGCTCACATTGTACTTTTATGTTTGATTGTTTCATTTTAGACCATTTTTAATAGTTTTACACTTGCTAATTAAATAGGAAAACAAGCTAAAACTAATCAAACCTGACCAGAATTTCTTGAATTAGAAGAGTCTCATCTATCTCACCTCTCACCTCTCACCTCTCACCTCTCACCTCTCACCTCTCACCTCTCACCTCTCACCTCTCACCTCTCACCAAATTTGTGACCTAATCTCACCTACAAGAATAATAACCATTATAAGGATACCAAAATGATATTATCAACTTAAAGGATTATAATTATCTCCACCCTTTTTATCATTAATCTTGAATTGTACTAATGTGAAATATGGAAAAAGCTTCTACCATTCAAGGTTAGAGAAGACAACATAATAAGCTCAAGGCTATCAAGAAACATGCAAAATTTAATCTATCTCATGGGATACAATTTTATGATCTCTCCCCTTCATAGATTTCTTATATCCTCCATCTCATCAACTCTTTAAACTAGTAACATGCTTTGAAGTTGCACACTAAATGCACCTCTTTTTATATGAACCATTAAATGTCCCTATTCAGAATATGTGATGTAGAGAGATCCAAATTTGTGCCAACAGAATTCATAGGCTAAACAACATTAGGAAGGAAAACATGCAAAATAAAATGTTTGGTGTTGACACATAAACTCAAAACCTGTTAACAACACAGGTTCTTACCAACCAAGGCAAGTAAAAAAAAGAATAACAAATCTCTAAATAACTTATTCCACTTCATCTTTGTACAGAAACCATTGAGGCAGGCAGACAGCTGACCATCTTCCAAGGCACAGAATCTTCGCTGGGGAAGAATTGTTGATTTTCACTACCACATGTTCTTACCAACCAAGTAGGAAAAAAAAAATAATTTTCAAAAACATTGATAACTGTCTGTCTGTGTGCATAAGGCATTGATATAGTTGACCATTATTTGATGCACATAAACTTTGCTAGGGAAGAATTGTTAATGCCATGTAAAACCTGAGCTAAACCCTAATTTCTCAAAAGCTCTTATTTTTCCAAACCATACATCGTGGTTTGGGTTCCAAATGACTTCTACTTACCAAACCAACTCCCTTAGACCCATATATCAAATAATTGCACTCTCTGCTTTGCATGGATTACATTTCTTATGTCCAACTACATTCTTTGCTTTGCCCTGCATCTTTCAGGATATCCCCATCAGTATTCTTCCTAACAGTAGTGCCCTTCACCTAGAAATCCACTCCCATTATGCCTCAATTTTTCAAGGGAACTTGACTGGTTCACCCAGAATTAGAATCTCATTGCTGAATTCAATCACCAAGCTGACTAGCCACACTCAATTGCCTATATGACTTCCAACTATGGGGCGAAATTAAAATTTGGCCATACACCTCCAAAGCCAAAAATACCTTAACAAAATTGAAATAATTTATTACATTGCATTCTCTTCTATTATATGGCACTAATATATAATAAATGCATTTATGTCTATTCCACTATCTACATGAATAATCAATGTGTGCAATCTGTACATAATATGTATCTAGCCTTGTATTTGAATAAAAAAGAATTACTTTTTCAGACAAGTTAAATATAGAACAAAAACTTTAGTTACCACACAGTAATATGAAGCATCTACAATATCAAATAACAGACTCACATAATAAGGGAAAATTTTAATATCTTAAAAGGAAATGGAAGAAGACCAGCTCAAATTGATCCAGGAAAAAAAAAAAGACTAGATCACCTCTAGAAGCAGCTTTTGCAGATCGTTGAGCCTCTTGAAGGGCACGTCTTTCAGCTTTTGATGTTTTCTCCTTCAGTTTTGAATCTCTCACCTGTTCATGTTGCACCTCTACCAATGTTCCACCTTTTTCTGCAATGCCACCTTTCTTCCTCTTAGTTAACAAATGCTGAAACTCATTGTAGAAAAGTAAGAAAAGATAAATAGTTGGTAAGAATGCCAGTATGGTCCCTTGTGTGAATGAAACTAAAAAATAAAACAATTAAAAAATGAGGTATTTGGATAATAAACACCTCCGAACCCATGTTTAGGTGTGTTTTCTTTTGTTATTAACAGTCCCCTAACTCCCATCCACATGGTATATGGATCAAAGTGCCAGACGTCACAAATTTCCAAATTCAACCCATGGTGAAAGTTCATCAAATAATTTGGCAATCAATTTCATTTCTACACCCAATTTGCACTCTATCCAATTGAAAACTAAACTTTCGCCTCCAATGGATGCGTTAATCCCCCATCTGTACGGATAAGATAATACTAATGATAGGACAAGCGATCCAACTTTGAAACATGCAAGGGGTAATTTACCGAGCAATTCAAACTTTTGAACAAAATGACACTGCTTGTGTTGGTTGTTGATTTTAAATACCGCAATATTGCATTTTGGCATCCAACAATAAATAAATAAATACACCCATAACAATAAAATAAAAGTTAAGATAAAAAGGAGTTTTTGCTCACCAGACAATCCAGGAGGCATTTTCACCACGGAAACAGTTGTCAGATTGCTCACCACCGGAATGTTACGCGATTTCATTGCCGTTGTATCGAATCCACCACTCGGAAACGACGAGGCAACTTTGCCAGGATTTCCCCTGACAAACCAGCCCGAAGTCGACGTATCCTCCGAGAGTCCCTCGTCGTCAAACCCACTCGAAGGAGAAAGAGAGGTCCCCAAGAGCGACTCCGAAGGATTGTAGCTCCCAAGTGGCAAGTTGAGATTGTCCCCAGTCGAAGGCCGCCGGATTGGCGACATCGGAACTGGAACCGGAAGCACACGAGACGAATTAAGACCCAACGAAGACGAGAGGTTATCGGAGGCGTGACGGGGAGGAGGAATCATGACAGGAGAGAGAGAGTTCCCGGCCGGCGACATGTCAGATGTGGGAGGCGACGACAAGGACTCAGCCGGACTGGACTTTGTGCGTTCAGGCGGCGCCCCGGGGGTAAAGAAGCCGACCTGACGTACTTTAGGTTTAGGATCAATCACCATCCTCGAAGCTCGACGGGAATCCATGGATGAGAAAGTACTTGATGTTAGGATTTCGAAAGGTTAATGCATTCTAATCGTCGTAACTTTTCTTCCATTAAAACTTCTTACAAGTAAAAATGTAGGGTTTGTTGATTGAGTTGCAGGAGTGCTGCTTCTATTGAAAAGACGCTAGGGTTCGAATTCGACGTCGACAGGTTGCAGAGAGAAAAGAGAAGAGTGATCATGGCTCTGCCCCTGCTGCATAGGATAGGAAGAAAACAAACGTCCGTCCCGTCCAGAAACCAGAATCTTTTTTTCTTTTTCTTCTTTAATTATTTATTCTTTGGCACTTACAGGATTGATGCCAACGCCTTTTGTCTCCGTAACTATTACGAGCCTACCCTACTCACGTGACATTGAGTTTTATAACCGTCAGATTGGTATCAATTAGGATATATAATTGCTGTGAAAGAGAAAGTTCAAGGAGTATGATGTTTCATCTTTCAGGTGGGCAGATGTTAAATTTTAAGGATGAGATGAGATATTCTGGCTGGGGGTGGGGCCAATTGAAGGATCAGGGAACCACGTGGGTGTTGCTGAGAGATTAAGGACCCACAAAGGAATTGGATCAAAGTATAACCTTTATTTATGTGACAGCGAAAGTACAGATAAGTTGGTAATTAGGTTCGGGCCAGGCCTTGCTCGGGCCCGAACTCCCTTTTAAGGTACTAAGCCCAACTTGGGCTCAACTTGACCCTCCAAACAAAGGAATGGAAAAGTTGAACCCACGTGTGACCCGCCCCACCAACTCAACCAAGGTTATGCATATCTATATTCAAATCCATGTCTATGTCCATACTATTATGAAAAGTGTGAATGATACTATGAGATTTTTGTTTGACTAGAATATTCCAATTTCGCTCTCTAATCGTAAGAATCAAAATGTAATTTGAAGTTTTTATTTTCATTAACATTCATTGTATCTAACTAGAATACCCTTCTTTGTAAATTTGGTCTCTCTTTAACCGTAAGGGCACAAATCGTAACTACTACATTTCTTCCTATTAAATCTTATATTTAAGCATTAACCCTCGTTATTTCATTGAGTCCCCTATTAATTCACCATATTAAAGAAAAATATATGTGACAATGAATAATTGTTTTTATTGATGAAAATAAAATACAATTTTTTTATTTGGTTCATTGAGTTACACAATAAGGGGCAATGCATCCCCCATACCCATTACCCCCCAACCAAATCAATCTCAAATCTCTATTGGAACAAGTCAGCCAAAAACCATCTTAGCTACCCATGAATTGGTACACAAATTTAAAACCAACCCAAAACGGAGTGTTGTTTTGGTAATTACCCAAAACTGGATTTATTTTTCTGTTTGGTGGTGAATCAACAATTCAATATTTTGCATCAAAATGTGTCAACTCTTCATGTCATAATTAAGTAGTAATAAAAATAAATAAAAAGATGAAAATACACAAAAGTATAAAACAATGAAAAAAATGTAGCAATTATTTGGGCACGTCTCATATTGTATATTTGTCATATTAAACAAAAATAAGTGTGACAAATAAGAATAGTTTGTATAGACATAAAAAACAGAAATATATTATTTACTATGATCATCAATTCGTCATCATTAAAAATTGTAAAGTGCACACTTACAAGTATTGAATTAAGCTTTAGTTGGGTCTGAATTAATTAACTTAAGCTTAACCTTGGCTTGGATTCGACTTTAATTGATTAACTTAGGCTTAACCTCCCAAGATTTGTACCTTCAGGATTAGATATGGATTGGTCTCCAACCCTATACAACCCATCCCAATTTGCACCCTTGAAGGTGATATGCTATGTCCAACCACTCTTATCTACTACCCACATCTTTACCACGGGACATTAGAGCTGCAGAGAGAGATTAGGGAATAGGGATGACAATTTTCCTCATCCTCGATGGGTACTTGACGTCCCGACCCAATGGGTCAAGGATGGGTATGGATGGATGGACATGCAAAATGGATTGGATCATGATCTGATCCAGTATGAGATTAATCACACTTGGTGGAATTTGGATCACCCATGTTCGGGGTCTTCCGACTGTATAATAGGATCCGATAAAAATTTGGATCGGATTCGGATCACCCCTATCCAATATGATAACATCCGATTATGTATATGTTATATATTTATAAATATATTATTTATATTATATTTTTATAAATTTGTTATATTATTTATTTTTTATAAAAACATGTATGCATATGATGAAAATATTTAAAAAATACTTGTATTTTTTTTCTTTATTTAAATTGATATATTTTATCCTTCTTTTAATAATTTATTAATTTTGAAAGAAAACAAAGTCAGATCGGATCATATACAAAGATCCAACTTACCAATATGATTCGTATTCAAATCGAGGCCTATCAGAACTGATCGGATATGAATAGTGTTGGATCAAATTCAGATATACCATGATTCAAATATGATCCGATCCGTTTGCATCCGTATGGACGGATTTGAGTTGAGTTGAGTTGAATACCTAGTTATTTGAGCTTGACTCACCAAAACAATTTTGGGCTCGAGCTTGATTCGAGCTAAAGACTTAAACTTAAATTTGGCTCGACTCAAAAGCTTGAAAGTTTGAGGTCAACTCGGCTCGAGCTCAATTGCAAGCGAAGCTTTCTATAAAAAAATTATACATATAAAAATTATTTTTTATTTTACATACAAAAAATTAAGACATAAAAATATTTATTATCGTAGATATAAAAAATAAAATATTATATAATATTATTAATAGATTATAATAAAAATGATTATATGTATGTATGCATGCATGCATTAGGCTCACAAGCCTGACGAGTTGAGCTTCATTGGTCTCAAACTTGGCTCAATTAGAAAATGAACCTATATGTTGGGCTCAAGTTTGACTCAAAGCTCTATTTAAATCGAGTCAAATCGATCTTTTCACAAACTAAAGTCCAATAGTTCTTGAAAAGCACAATTTGTTTCCACCCGTAGGAATAGGTCATGGGAATTGCTTTGGTGGGGCAAGAATGAGGATGGGGATTAATAGGGAGGGATATTAGGGGTCGGGATTGGGGATGGGAAATGAGGTCCCTGATCCACTCTGACCCCAACTATATATATTATATATTATATATGATATTATTTATGTTTAAAAATTGTATTTATTTTAAATAGATTTATTTTTCAAAAAATACTTTTAACTAAAAAATCCTAGGGATTTAAGTCCCTGGGGATGGGGGACAATTGGACAACTTTTATTCACAAAGGAGATCGGGGTCGGGGCATATGTCCCCGCCCCGTTGCCAATATGTTTCTAATACAGGACAGTGGTGTTGTATGGGTAGGGTGCGGGTACAGTTTGTGGGTAGTATTAAAATTGGAATATCGGTTTGTGGGTGGTAGAGGAGATGGAGAGACGTCTAACATCATCTCAATCACGTCCCTAGAATCTCTCCCAACCTCTCTGAACCGTCTCTTCTCTCTCTACTTAAAATCTCTTTCTCTCTCCATCTACCATCCAATGAAAGCGGGCTCTCTCCACTTTTCATCTTCTTCAATCCTTTTCTTACGGAGAAGTTCACCTATTAATCACCAGAAAAGATCAAGGAAAGTTTCATTTCCTCTTCGCGCGAATTATCAACAACAATATTGCAGACACGACGGAGACGTGTAGAGAAGGACGATTGATTAATTCTGCTCTCTCTCTCTCTCTCTCTTCGTGTATCTGTAATACACCACTACTCTTATCTGTCTTTTTCTTTTTTCTTCACTTTCCTTTCGTTATTTCTTTTGTTTTCTGTCGTATCGATTGTATAGGCATTTTTAGGGTTGACGAGAATAAAGCTTTGAAGGAGTTGCTTCACACTATTATTATACGCTTGGTTAAGATGCTAAGATTTCATGAGAATGACCCGCTTTATATCTATATCAAAATATTGTTTCTTTCTTCTTGCAGGTAACTTGGGCCCAGATTCAACTTAATCTAACTCACCTGCAGTTGCAGAAATGTAATTAGAAACTGTTGTCCATAAATCAGTAAATCAGTTTATGGTTTGATAAATCGAGAGCATCATCATCATCTAAGCCTTGTCCAACTATATGGGGTCGGCTACATGAATCCTGTTTCACCATTGGTGTTCATAGTGGTTTATTTATCCTTCCTGAACATAAATCACAATCGGTATAATGGTTATTCTGATATACATTAGCAATCAATCACTTTAATCACAATGATTTTCTCCTTTGACAGATTTAAATATTTGATGATCATCTTCAGAAAAGTCTTAGTGTTGGTGAGGAGTTTAAGACTTTGTCCCAACAGATAAGACTTGAGTCAATGCTTTGCTTTTCTGTTCTTATATTGCATCAATATTCAGAATTCTCTCATTAGCCTTATACTGACCCTGTGTTTGTTATCTGAATATATTTTCTATAGGCATTGTTATCCTCCCATTTCTTTGTGGTCTATATATGAGATCTTGCAATCAGCTAGAAGGTTATAAGTACTGAACTAATTGGATTTCCCTATAGTAACTACAGGGGTGAACAAATAAGAATATGTAAAACTAATCAAGAAAAATTGGCCTTTTTTATTGAATTTTCTCCTATATAGATTTGTACTGTACATGTTTAGCTATCTAACCAAATTTATCATGGTGGTTGTTTTTTGGGTGTGTGTGTGTGTGTTAAGAAGGAATTTCCTATTTCTCATGGTTAACCTAATTAACTTCATTAAAAATTAGTTTGAGTATTTACAGTATAGATTCTCTGATATACTATTTAATTTCCTTATTGAGGATAATTAAGTTTAACATTTATTTAGTTAATGAAACAGTTATCTATTTGAATCAGGGTGTAGAAGAAAAGGAAGCAAGATTTGTCACATTTACATCCCAAGAGGCTCTGCAATTGTTTAATATCTAATAGCTTTCTGTATAAGTTTGGTTAAGAATATTTTGCTTGTATATTGGAGTCAAGGGTCCATACAATTTGGAGATTGGACAAGCCATTAACGTTAATCTGAATCAAACTGCTCCTACAAACTTCACAGCCTTGTTAATTGGTGTGAGCTTCGGAAGGTGTTTTCCTTGGCAATAAGAAATCTGATTAGGTAGTTTGTGCCCAGCATCTGGCAATTATTCAACAAGTGTGATGGCAGTAGGTGAGAATGAAGAGGCTGTCGCGCTATCATCAGATAACAAGGTGAAATTTTTATGCAGCTATGGTGGGAAGATATTACCGAGACCAACAGATGGTCAGCTCAAATATGTTGGTGGTGAAACCCGTGTTGTCGCAGTTTCTCGTGACATTAACTTCTCAGGTCTCTCTCTCTCTCTCTTTCATACAGACATTCGGTCAATTCAGGCACTCTGCGTCTCTGCCTGTTTCAGGTCCATATGAGTCCCCTCTACATGCTCTTATTAATAACCTTTATAATCTCTCTCTCTCCCATTAACTATTACATTTAAGGCAACTTTTCAAATTCAAAATTGTCTCCTAATTTTTCTCATTAATTTCTAAATTTATGCATTAACTTCTAATTAGCCCCTTTTTAAGGCAACCATTCAAATTCAAATTAGCATTATTAAGGTAATATTAAAATCTGAATTTGTCTATTTGACTTTTTGACACGTTTTGATATGTCATTTAAGCTTTCTTACAATGATAGAAGATAATAATAGAACATACAAGCATTCATACAATAGAAATCTATAAGGCTCATTTTGGGAAGAGTACAAATACAAATAAATATGTAGAGTGCAAAACCTTGTATTTTGTATGTATTTGTACTGTACATATTTGTAATGTACTCTTCTCAAGCTGAGACTAAGCAACAAATTTTAGGCTTTTAGCATTCAACAAAATAATAACTAATCAACAAGCAACCATAAACCTTTATATTTCAAGTTTCAACATAAAAAAAATTCAAATTGTTCAAATTACCAATCAATACTTTAAATTATCAACATATGATGAATCATCCATAAAATTGATACTAGATTTCTGGTTGCTCAATAGTTTAGAAAGGAAACAACTTAACTGATTTAATCTATGCAAAAAAAAAAACAAAGAAAATCACTTGAAAATGTAGAATAATTAGAAAAAAATCCCATTTGATCTGATCAAGAATGAAGAGAGAATGATGAATGTTCCTTTTGGTCCTTGTTGCATTTAACTCTTAAAAAACCCTAAGAGAATGATGAATGTTCCTTTTGATTCTTAGCTTTAAATTTTCTCTATGTTTATGATTAATATTAGCACAAATTGTGTTATTTTTATTGAGAAACCATTAAATTATATATATATTTTTTGTGTAAATAATTTATTTATAGTCATCTAAAACGTATATTTATTGCTATTAATATAATTTTTAGGGTTTATTTTAGTTTCCTTGATATCCATGTGTGTCTTATTTTTTCCACCATATCCATATGTATCCAAAGCGTATCTGATACATCTTTTAAAACTGTCTTTCTAATACTCGTTACATTTCTAATATTTTGAACCTTACATTTCTAATACTCATTATAATTAAGGAGCTTCTTCTAGGATATCTGAAATCATATTATTTTAAAATCTCAGAAGTAATACTTTTTTTTTTTTACAAGTTTTTCAATTTCAGGCATTTCAGTAGTTTCAAATTTTGAAAAGATGGCCAAAATTTAAGTCAGCAACAATTTTTCTATTTTTTTAGACATCTAATGTAATCCATATATTTCCCATTGAAACCGAAAACTAAGTTATCACCAAACAACCGATTTTTTGTTGTCATTTTAATTTCAGATTATAAATTGATTGATGTGAGTTGGTTATTTGAAAATTTGGTGGCGAATTGCATTGCCAGAGTTGATGAAGAAAATACGAGCAATATACAACGGAGACGTAGTCCTCAAATACCAGTTGATACCTGAAGAAATGGATATCTTAGTGTCTGTAACAAGTGATGAGGACCTCCAACACATGCTCGATGAACACGATCGTCGTGACACAAAGTCGACTGAAAGCAGTGGATTGCCGAGATTGCGAGCATTCTTGTTTTCCCCCAACCCAGTTGTAGTTGAAAGCCAAGCAGCGACCACTAACAACACCATGGACAACCAAGGACTCGAGCAGCGCTATATTGATGCCATCAATGGAGTTGTACGCAGCACCCCCATCAATACAAAACGAACCTCCGGTAGCATAAGCCATCCCAGCACCAGCTATTCAATTTCATCTAGTGGCTCATCCCCTAAATCAGTAGCCCCAGAGAGCGTTTCCACCGACCATAATGTATCAATTGAGCACTCGAGTGATCAACATCTTGGTCAAAGGCGTTTTATGCAGAGGGTCCATAGTTCACCCAACCTGTCCAGTCTTGCCAATGCCAACACTAGCTACCCTAATCCCAGTCAACAACACCAGAAACAATTCCACCCCTGCTACCCCCCCTCAACCTCAAGATTACCAACCCCATTTAAGGGTGGTGGTGGAGGTGGACACAGAAGGCTATCAGGCGGCCCAAATGAGCTTGGAAGAAGACAGTTGGGTCCTTGCCAGAGCTGTTATTACAACCCAACAAGGTGGCGTGGGGGATGCGCTGATTGTGGATATATTGGTGACAGTGGTTTTCACCAGAGTGGGGGTTTTGAAATGGCAGGTGGATTTCCTCCCTATCCCATTAGGTCCAAACCATGGGATTAGGGCAAGACCGTGTTTTCCCTTGTTTCGTTTTCTGGGCGGTGTTTATATAGCTTGTCCATTAAAAAGGTTTAGAAGATTCATCATTAATATCAGTATTTTTTTTTTCTCTTGTTTGTTTAAATATGAATTTGAAGATGTCACACTCACAAGGTGGTGTAGGTTTGGAGAATTTTGGCAACCATTTGTAAATTTTTTACACTATAACTATGCACTGTAAAGATGTATCGGCCAATATGTATTATATCATTGATCCACCCATTTTAGAGTTTGACCTGCTTCAAAGGATAGACATACCTTATACTGACCCCCCTGTACAGATTTGAATTTGACAAAAAAAGTAAAAAGGACATAAATACAGATATAGAAGAATATGCCCCATCCGGAGTATTTGTCTGTATAGACATGACCTGTTCATAGGCCAGGCTTTGGGCCCAACTTTACAGTTTACACCGTCTCAGGCTTAGGCTTAGCCTTCAGGCTGGGCCCATTAGAATTTTGGCAAAACCCAAGCCCGAGCCAGGCCCATCAACAGAACCTTGGTCGTGCCTCTCTATTTGTTCCGTCCTGAATATTTGGTCATCTGGAATTGTATGCATGACTAGGCAGGGGAGATCAGTAAATGATTTGAACTGCGATCCTACTAGCTATATGTTCAATTGCATGAGTCTAGTTACTGTATATTCAAATTTTAATGCATATAACAAATCATAGAAGTGAAGGTTAAAATCACCATCACCACCACCACCACAAACAGCCAAAATAGAAACAGAAGATAGATTTTTTGTCCTGAAAGAGGCCACGATCAGATGAAACTGGGGCAGACGGGACCCTTAGAAAGACCAAGACGAACTTCCATTCCATGATGCATGTCTGCTGGCCGGAAAGTTTCTGAGTCACGTGGATCTGGAAGTGGCAGCAAAGAGAATATTAAGACAGATATGTAATGGGCAACATCCACCCGGTTTTGTACTTTGCACACATTTTTCTTGCATTTTCTAATGGTCTTGAAATACCTTTTAAAAGAAAACTTTTGGAACTTTCATAAGTCAACAAAACATTTGTTTTAGGAATTTCTTGAAAATCTAGTAAAATTTTCTTTTATTTGCATCCATTTTCTGGACAACCAAACAGATATGTACGCCAGGAACCAAACATAGAAAAATGTTAAAACAGAAACTCACAAGGAAATCTCCATTCACTTTTTGAGAACACCTAAGCCATGCAAACCTCATAAAAACTAACCATCCTAAGAATTTTGCCTGATAGATATTCCTCAGTCTTTTTTAGTCAGCAATATTCTTCGTAGATTTTAATCATTTACATTTTAGGATATTGTTTACAGAAAGCTTCTGGAACAGTGTTCAAAAAACAGAAAACTGGCTTTTTGCACCTAAGACATGAACCTTTTTAAAAAGCACGCATTTTTTCTTCAAAAATTCTAAAAAACCATAAATTAAAAATAATATTAATACAAGATGCAAGCTTAAATTTTAAAAGAAATTAAACATTTTAAAAAGCTCATTGGATAAAATTAAAATAGTCAAACATAACATATAAAAATATTCAAGCACTCAACAATTCAAGAATCATCCTAAGAATTTTGCCTGATAGATATTCCTCRGTCTTTTTTAGTCAGCAATATTCTTCGTAGATTTTAATCATTTACATTTTAGGATATTGTTTACAGAAAGCTTCTGGAACAGTGTTCAAAAAACAGAAAACTGGCTTTTTGCACCCAAGACATGAACCTTTTTAAAAAGCACGCATTTTTTCTTCAAAAATTCTAAAAAACCATAAATTAAAAATAATATTGATACAAGATGCAAGCTTAAATTTTGAAAGAAATTAAACATTTTAAAAAGCTCATTGGATAAAATTAAAATAGTCAAACATAACATATAAAAATATTCAAGCACTCAACAATTCAAGAATCACAAATTTTCAATTTGTTTATTTCTCTCTCAATTGCATTCCTATATATACGAGATCAGACATCCACCCCTATACCAAGCCCCTTGAGACAAGCCTAGACAAATTCATGTGAAGATCTTAAAGTGTATAATGAGATTGGTTTTATGATTTTAATGGCAAATCATTATATTTTAGGATTTTCCATCAAATGGTTTGATGGAAAATGTCTTCTATTAAGAAGAATGAGAGAACAATACTAACAAAAGGGGGGCTACTTCAGTGAGGATGAGCAAGCAAGGTACATGCTTGGGCTCAAGCTTTAGGTGCAAGGCACACCTGGTGTGCACCTTTTCAGAGGAGCTTTGCCTGGGCCTAGGCAAGTGAGCCTACATATGCCTGAGATGTACCTCTTAAATCAATTTTCTGGAGAGTTCTAATATAATATGTTAAGTAGATTTCTAGCTATTTCATTATCAGGAGAATATTGTGCTAATATACTGATTAAGGATTCCCGTGCCGGGGGGGGGAGCATTATTACCGTTTAGATAATCTTCAAAACCAAAGTCATCCAAGCTTCCAGTAATAGCCTCCAAACCTAGCATTGAAGATGGCAATGCACCTGGAGGCCTCTGGAATCTGCAATGGAAACAAACAAAAAGAATTAAACATGATTAGACCAAGTTAGTAGTAGCATTGGATTCGTTTTCTAACCAAACAAGGAAGCATGCCTTATATTTCATCACATCCTTACTTTTCATATTATGAATGGAAAACCAAGTTGTCATATACAAATAATGACATCTAATGAAACAATTCAAGTTCTACAGTTACATATATTCTTCTGTTACCAAAAGAAAAAGCTAGGTATGTTTGATAAAGGCAAGACTCCTTCCAGGAATTTGTTAAATGCTTTGTGAAGAATTTCAGTTCCACAATTCCAAAATAGAACAGCAAAGGCATTGGATTCATTTTCCAAGGATGTTCTCTTTTTTCTTCAATTTCAAAAACAGAAAGAACAGAAAATGCAAAAACTTCATTTTCGAAATGAAATCTCTTCATTTTCTGGATTCTAAATACTCAAAAGAACAGAAAAAGCATCCAGTTCATTTTCAGTTCAGTCTATAAGTCTCCTACTTTTTCTGTTTATTTCAGCACTGTTAACTTGTCATACACTATTGGTCCCAATTCCCAAGCCCGCATAAAGGAGGTCGCTGTCAGATTGGGATCGGGCATAAAAGCCTTCAGCTAATCCAATATGAAAACTAATTCTGAATTGTTTTGTGCTATGTTAGGGCATTTTATGTATGATGCTGCATTCCATGGACACTTAGGTGCAGTTATAAATGAGCAAGGGTTCACCATTAGAGAATTCTTCATAAACGTGTTGCGACATTGTTCTGTTGCAATGATAGATGAGTGAAGTTTCTAGATGTTTCACAAAAATAGCAATCTCCTTATTGATGCCCTTTCTACTGGAAGTCTGGAACAGTCTGGTTGAGAAAGAAGATAACCGCCCATTTTAAAGGAACAACCTTGAACTGTATATCTTTATACTCGTATAAGTTACTCTAGCAGACAATCAAGTTTCAACATGTAATCTCCCAATAAACTTTGATGGAATGCCTACTTCCTCTGCCTTTACTTACCTATCTTATTAATGGTTATTACTCACCTTCAGAAATATTATGCGACATCTTAACCTTGAAAAATCAATTTGAATGCATCTCTCTTATGGCCCCTGAGCATCGTTCTCTTCACATTCAATATTCAAGCCTGCAAATATCCCCTAACTCTTCCCCGAGTTATGAATACCGAATGATCTTTTCAATTTCAATGATCGGAAGATTAAACTAAAAGCAACATAGATAAACAACCTAAATCTCCAATAATCTTGATTTCTCCCAATGTGGCTGAAACTAAATAGTTCGACCAACTATCGACATCCCTAGGGATGAAATAAAAAGAAGATTACTTCACAGAACCAAACAAACCAACTATAACAAGCATACCGGTAAAAACATTTCATCAAGCATTCGAATCACGAAACCCTCAGAACATGAATTGATAGAAAAAGCAATATCCTTCTGCGCCTTCTTTTCGCAAAAATTTGCTGTAAGTCCATACCTGGAAAGAATTTGTTTGTCCAGATCCATCTTCAGAGTAAAAGCTGACCCGTAAGTGTTAGCCAGGATTTTTCGTTTCATCTCCGATTGGGTATTCATCGTCTGATCAATAAATCGAATAAAAAAAACAAAAAAAAAGTTAGAGAAGGAAAAAAAACCATGAGTAGGGGAACAGAGAAAAAAATCGCCAGGAAGAAATGTTAAAGAGAAGAGAAAGTAATATCAGATTTTACCGATTCCAGGGCGGATTGGAGAGGATGAGCGCCAACAATCTCACTCTTAACACCTTGTAATCCGAAACGAAGAGCATCGTTTTGGACTCCTCCAATTTCGTGAGCAATCGTCTTCGAGCCTTCCATTTTTTCTCTTTCTTCTTCTTCTTCTTCTTCTTCTTCTTAGAAGAAAAGATTTTCTCTAACACCAAGTGCAGAAACTTTATGCCCAAGCTATCAAGCAAAAAACAACACAATAGCTCGATTCGAGACGGAGAGTTATTATATGGTGTACATAATTACATTTTTACCCCTGTCTTGACGGGTTCCAATTTTAATTGGGCCTACGTCAGCCCCAAATTAACTCTATTATGGGCTTAATAATGACACTGATCCAACCCGGGGGACCGGGGGAGATTACTTGATCATGTGGCGGAATTCGACAGTTTGTGGGGGTAACTAGGTCATTTCGAAGAGCGTAAGACGGTTCAAAAATTTTTGCCGCGTCGCTTTTGGGTTTCAGCTCTCCCGTGCTGCCGTCATGGCGAGTTCTTTTCTCCTTCACATTCCTCTGGTATTTTTCCGTTTTATTCATGCTGCACAAAACCCAATTATCCGACCAAGTTGGGATATCAAATCCAAAATTTTGTTCAAGCAGAGCTAGAGTTACTCAAGAACTCATTCGAGTGCATTGTCTATAGAGATTCTCACAAGGTAAGGAAAAGAAGGAGCTGAAATTGAGGCATACTTCATAAGTTGTGATGATCCCATTAGATTGTATTCTTTTCTGTAACATTGAGTTCATGGGGTTTTCGTGTTAGCTTGCTTATTACTTGCATTACCTCAATTCTTGTGCATAATCAAGGGTTAAATGAAGGGTCCTGTATTTGCATCCAGCAGTCCTTGAGAGGGATATCCTGGTTTATTCAACTGTAGATTTAAAATCGAGCTATGCGTTTTCTTAGAGAAACAAACAAATACCATTTTCATTATGATTCCTGGTTTGGAAGATTCACTGGGTCAGGTAACACTCTTTTTGAAATGTTAAGATTTGACACTTCACACATCTCAATCCTAGATTGATAATCAATGCTCTTAGATAATAAATAACCAGGTATTTATAAAAAAATAATAAATAACCAGGTTCTGGAGTAACTGTACTATTTTCATGATATTTTTAAATTACAGTTAACTATATCTAATGTAGCTTAGGAAGAAATGATATGAATAACTTGATCATCACCATTACTATACCTTGTTTAGGTATCTCTGAGTGCTTGAAATTGTGTATAATATAAGCATGAACAACCATGGCCTGTTTAGAGGTTAGTATAATTGGCACTTTTGACTTTTTGGGTGATTGTATTTTTGTCACATGGCAAGATATCTGAAGCTTTGATGTAGCCCTTATTAATTTGAAGTGTTTCAAATAGATCAAGAAATTAACAACTTCTAGGTTTGGAAAGATGGATTTATGACTAGGAGAAAGAGGTGAGTTCTTGTTAGAAGGGATAAAAAAAGAAATGATTTTGTTGTTAGACTGTTCAATTTCAATATACCCATAAATAAAACCAGAATCTCTGGATTGGTGATAAATGAAGCATTCTTGTATACTATTTGGTAGGATTATACTAATGTTTTGGGTTTCTCAGCACCTTAACTATTTGATAAAAAAAGACAGTGCATGATTTCTTTTCTTACAAAGAAGAGGGTTTCTGCTGATCCCAGATCATTCAGTTGGTTTTATTATCAATAACCACCTACCCATTACCAGACCATAGAGATGGAATAAAATATAAACTTGTTTTTTCCCTGAGGTGTGGGATGGACTTATGCCTAATTCGAGCTCCAAGTAGCTCTAAGAAAGGTAGCACTTGCTCTTTTGTGGAAGAACATTCTTCAAAGGGGCAAAATATTGTGAGTTGCAAACTGAGTTGGATAATTCCTTTGGGAAAAATTAAGTTTCCCTTCTCTCTCATTTCTTAACATTGTTTTTCATAATCTTATCTTCATCTAAGCCTTGTCCTAGCTACATGGGGTTGGCAGTGCCATATGCATTCTTAAACTATTGGCCCTTAAATCATTTCTCAATACTTCAACCCATGTCCTTTGTCCTTTTTTGTCTGCCCCTATCTCTTCTAGCCCCTTCAACTTCTTGTACCACTTCTAATTGCTTCTGTAGATGGTCTTCTCTGTACGTGCCCAAACCATCTCAGTCTAACTAATTTTATTACCTATTGGAGCTACTCCCATGATGACATGATCCTTTGAGTAAGTTTTTCTCTGATCCTATCCTTTAAAAAGTTTTTCCACTCTTAAAATTCGCATCTCATCCACACTCATTTTTTATACTATTGTTCCTAGACTGCCAAACACTCTGCTCCATTTTCTCTATTGTGGAAGGGTCCAGTCCTCTTGCATCAAAATTATAATAAATTGTAATTCCACTGAATCTATTTTTCTTCTTTGGTCACTAAGTTGAGCAAAATTTACCTCCATCCTTAGCATATTTCTCATCCTCTGAAGGATAGTAAGGTGGCGTTACACTTTTCAGACCTTTGAATTCTGAAAATGTTGCTTTTCAGACGTCAGAGGTGTTTGGAAGTGTATCTGAATTTGGGTCTGAAAATTATTTTCAGATCTGAAATAATAAGACTTGGGCCAGGCGTTGAATGTGTTTAGAAGCATTTCAGACCTGGCTGAAAATCCAAAATACCCTTAAAAACATGCTTGTGTTTCTCCCTCTCACCGTTCATCTTCTCCACTTGACGCAATGGCGAATCAATGGTGGCAAGTGACTCCTCCGTTGAACTAGCGGCAGCGAGTTCCGGCCTTCTGCTTCTTCTTCTTCCTCTTGTAGAGACAGTGAGAAGATCTAGTCGCAGGGCTATTTTTGTACTTCTTTTGTTGTACATCTATTTTTTGTACTCTTTCTTTTGTACACTAAGGGCAGATTTGTCCTTTTACTTTCTTTAATATAAATATCTCTTTTAGGGTGTTGACAATCATAAGGTGAGACACACACCAAACTGTTTGTTCTTTTCTCTCTTCTATCTTTGTCTTTCCGGCTTGACTCTGACATGGTGTGAATTTTATGCATTTCCCCTCTTGTGGGTGCCACAACATTTGTTCAGTTAAACAGTTGATGATTAGATGTCGAGACAAATCACCAATTGAGGATGCCATCTATATTAGGTGGGACCAAATATTTCTTTTTTGGTGAATAAGCTGGAATTGAACCTTCAAGTTCATCTCATGGTTGGTATGCTTTTGGCAGCTTTTATGGGGTTCCACAAGTGAGTTGCTGCACAATGATGTAATTCAAGTACTAGTTTAATGAGGGGCGGGGATGGGGGCTTGTCCCCTCTATAGAAGGGGTGCTTTGGCACTTTTCACTTGTACATTATAATTGATTATTTTCCTCATATTAATAAAATTTTCATGGATATACTGTCCAAGAGACTTTGATCACTTAAATGAGAAAGTTAAAATTGAATTAGAATTTTAAACAAAATGGGTAAGGTTGTTTAATTTGAAGATCAATTTCTTACATACAAATTGAAAGTAAAGGAATTGCCAAGTGGAGCAGTAGGGAGCACAAACTAATAAGACATCCCTTTGAACCTTTTTAATGTCCAAGAAGGGCAAGCAACAGGTTTAGCTAGGGCAATGTTTAACCTATTTTTACTCTTTGCAATTGAAGCCATTAACACTAAAAATTTTGAAACTTCCATTCATGGTGCTAAGCTAGCACTTCATTATTTCTATGGGTTAACCTTGCTCATTATATTTTATGATTACTGCTAAGATGCCCTTTTTGTCCTAGATTCTAAGACTATGTGAACAATATTATGTTTTGCAGTTTTTTGTTAGACAAGCTGTAATAGTAGTTTCCCAAATAGTCTAAATTATGGTAATCCAGAATCACTTAACCTCCACTTGTAAAGCTCTCTCTCAAGTTATCTACATTGTTCAAAGCCTTTTTTTTTCTTTCTTTTCATTTTTTTGTGGGTACCAAATGTCTCCAGCATGCCAATCCTCATCTTCCTTTTTACACGTGTAGAATTCAGAGAAGAATTTTTCTAAATCAGCTAGTTATTTCACTAGATTAGTTCACTGGGTAGATTACAAGTTTTCTTCCTCTATTACCTATTGGGTCCACATATGGATTCCCCTTTTATTTCATTCATCTCTACTCTGATTCTATAGACATACTGTAGAGGAATCCAATGACTTGGATGTTGATTATGATCCTCATTGGTTACATTCGTGTAGGACCAAATTATATGGGCCACTGGTGCTTGGGATAAAATTTTGGCTGCTACTGGAAGCAGTGGAAGTGGACCCCTCCCCCCTTCCCCTTATTCTTTTCTTTCTTTGACTTCTTTCTCCTGTTGTGTTGTTAAAGCATTACCTCATGATCCTTACATGGCCGGAACTCAGAGAAGAAATTTGAGATAAGTTTTAGATTAGAGCTGGCCTTCTATGAATGTTAGTTTGTGGGGCATACATGGCGATTCATGTTGTGGTCCTAAATGGTTAAAGTGCTTGTCTTGATGCGTTCCATCAGTCTTAAGCCTTTTGGCGTATACTCCAGTTCAAATCACAGAGAGGGCTACTTGGGAGAAGGGCTACCTAGAGTAGAGTGAAAGCTGTCATGGAAAGAGCTACCTAGACTAGAGTGAAAGCCGTCATGGAAAGGGATACTTGGAGCAAAGTGAAAGCCGCCAAAGGGAAAGGGCTGTCTGCTGCCAGAGTTTGAGCTATCGTGAAAAGGGCCACATACTGCCAGAGTGAGAGCCGTCATGAAGACCTACCGCGAGAGTGAGAGCTGCCTAGAGTGAAGCTGTCGAGACGTCGGTTATGGAAGCATGGTGGTATGGTACGGTCCTAAATGGTTAAAGTGCTTGGCTTGATGTGTTCCATCAATCTTAAGGCTTTTGGCGTATTGGTCAAGCACAGAACAATTCACAAGTCACAGCTTCATTAGAGCTATCCATGCTCTTGCCATATGAAAGCTTCCAAGGCCTTTGGAAAGGTCTGTTCCCCTATATGAATGAAAACCTAAAACAAAGAGACGCCAAAAGTCTTTAATCTTAAATGTGAGGACCAAACTTCGGTTTGCTTTTCTTCTTCTGCTTGCATATTTGTATAATCTGAGCATACGAGCAAACAAGAGGCTATTGGAGACTGGAGTTGGATGAAAAATATACCTTTTTCACCCACTTATTTCTGTGATGCTGATGGCATGTGATCAGCCGTGCAAGCAGCCATTAATGAGGCAGATGGGAATATGTTGTGGGACCCTTTCATTGATTACAGGGCTGTATCACACTCTCTCTTGTAAATAACATGATTATCACCCTCTAAAATGTGCAATTACCATACAAGACCCAAAATCTAGGTCATTGAACCAGATCATTTAATTGCTCTTGGTCCCACAAGAATCTTGAACTATCATATGTGGGCTCCATCTGCATGGAAATGGTAGCCATTTGAGCAGGTGCTACTAGAAGGTCCTTGTTTGATTAGTGTGATATTCGGATGTAAGTCTTATCTCTATCACGACTGTGCCTATAGGTATTTGATCAATGACATACAAAATAGATGGGTGGTGAAGAGCGGCCAAGTAGCCAACTGTATATATCATTTATTAATTGGTGTATATGGATGTAGACATGTGAATTTCAAAGCCAAATAAATGGGCTTAATTTACATGACAACCTCTAAAATAATATGGGCTTCTATGGGCTCAAGGCCCAAGTCTACATAAATATAACCCTTGACCCAAGAATCCAAGTGTACTAAGTCCAGTTAGGCCCATCTCCTATTGTAATAGGGTGGTTCCATTGGCAAGACTACTAACTCCTACATAATGGTGCATGTATGGGAGTTAACCCTAATCCAACACCCCACTCACATGGGATTGGTTAGCAAAGTGGGCAGAGGTGGCAGCCCTAATCCTAGGCTATAAATACCCTTGCCTAGGGAGAAAGAGCTTCTTTTTTTTCACAATCACATTACAAGAAGCTCTCACACACCAACACTTCAGGATTGCAAGCAACCACAAGCTCTTGCAAACTCCAACTACTTCAAGATCAAGAGAGAAGAAAGAAGGGAAAAAGCTTCTTAGTTCTCTAAAACACACTTGGATTCAAGCTCACCCAAAAAGATCAAGCCACTACGAAAAGGTCCTTCTTAGAGAAGTATCCTTTATGATTGATCAAGCGTGAAGCCAGGAGTGAAGAAATCTACATCAACTCTTCTGAAAAATTAAGGAAATCTACATCAGCACTTCAAGAAGTACGAGAAACATGCTAGCGACCCTTGTCTTCACCGAATTCGACTGTTAATTAGAGGTTGCTCAGGCCATCGAGCGAGAACCAAAGAGAGTTCAAATCCCTTGTATCTTTCTTTATTACAATTTTATTTTTGTAATTTGTCTCCATATTTTGTGTTAATCAAATACATGAAATTTGTGTTGACAATGGATACCACCATAACATGTACAAAGAACAAAGATGACAACAGACCTATCTCAGCGAGGAAGGAAGAAATCTAGAGATTGTCTTGACTCAGATTTATAGTTATTGGTCTCTCTGTTAGTTAATTCAGGTTTGGTAGTTTAATATGATGAACCCACTCAGAGTAAAACCTTCAAGCTGTCTCGTCTGGATAAAGGTTGGTTACTAGCTATTGGTGGTTGCTGTAGCTCATGGCATCAGAGACTGGTATTGAATAGAACTTGACAATATAATGGTGATGCAACCATGAGAATGTTTTGAACAGGATTTTTCTTGTCTGTACTTAATTGCCAATTCTGGAACCTGGGTTCTTTTTAGTTTCTAGGATTGAGCAACAACTGTGTACTTAAGAACTTTTTTTTGGCTGTTGCAGTGACTGTGTTGTCTTGCTTTTGTGTTTATGGTGGCCTGATGGTCTGATTCATCAATGGAGGTAGGGAGAAATGGGTTATTGGTTGTTTCTGCACTCTGCAGTTTACAAAGATGAGACAAAAGTTAAGAACTACCCGTTAGCAAAATCCCCATGGTAGTCAGGTTAGGCTTCTTGGTTGCTGCTTCAATTGCTGCCTATGCAGTTAAGCAAATCAACGTTAAATCCCCAAAGCCGCAAACTGCTTTAGTCAATGTTCCAGGTAATGATACTATGCCTTTCTTTTTTAGCAGATACCTTATTATTGATATTTCATTATGATTTTTCTTGGTAAAAGCTGGAATCAGAAAAAGAAAAGTTCTGCTTGTGGATAATTGACAAAGCGTCTCTGAGAAATCCAGTTTCTATGTATTACGTCAGTGGCTAATATTTGGATTTTTTTTTTTGAATTTTGTTGCACTTTCCTCATTTCTGCCATATAAACTCTGAATTCAGAAAATGGTGAAGCTAGCTTTGAACAGCAGAATGAAGAGGAAGAAGCAGAGAAGGAACTGTTCAAAGATTTTAGTATTGACATGCAAAAGGAACATGTGAGTACCATTACGTGCCCTCCAGAACTATTCTTTTTCCCCCTCTGAATTCGACAGAGCTTCAAATGTCCTTTCTGTTAACCTTAGCATAAAGTTGAGTTTAATACTATACATTCTATCTGTTTCAGGGGGAGAATGATGAAGAAGAGGAAGAGGTTAAAAGAATTAGTAGTGTAATCAGCCCTACCTTGTGTAACGTTCCTGCTCTTGAAGAAGACGAGATTTTATCAGAATTTGAAGATCTTCTTTCTGGGAAAATTGAATTTCCACTACCCGGTGATAAGTTTCATGTCAAGAATGGTTACCAATCTGAAAATGACAGAAGGTATGAAACTGAGACGGTGAACAATACAAATGAACTGGAAAGATTGCAGAACCTGGTAAAGGAATTGGAAGAGAGGGAAGTAAAACTTGAAGGTGAATTGGTTGAGTACTATGGCCTGAAGGAACAGGAGTCAGTTATTGCTGAGTTACAAAAGCAGCTGAAGATCAAGACAGTTGAGATTGACATGCTGAATATAACCATTAATTCCTTGCAGGCTGAGAGGAAAAAACTTCAAGAAGAGATTTTGCAGGGAGTGTCAGCAAGGGAGGAGTTGGAGGTGGCAAGGAACAAGATCAAGGAATTGCAGAGACAGATTGAACTTGATGCAAACCAGACCAGGGGTCAATTACTGATGCTTAAACAGCAGGTTACTACTCTTAAGGGAAAGGAGGAGGAAGCCTTCAAGAAAGATACAGAGGTTGAGAAGAAGCTGAAAGCTGTGAAGGAATTAGAGCTGGAAGTTGTGGAGCTTATGAGAATGAATAAAGAACTTCAACATGAGAAGAGAGAGTTGACTATTAAACTGGATGCTGCTGAAGCTAGAATAACAGTTCTTTCCAATATGACAGAGGTAAGATGCTTACATGTACTTTTATGTTCTTTTTTTTTTCTGTTTACAAATTCATATAAACATGAATACGAATAACTAGGAGAAGCATGCTCATCATATTTGTGTGTTGGGGAACATATTAACCTCTTTGCTCATATTCTGGTGTCTAGGATTTATCCTTTGGAATTTTAACATGATTGCTTATGCAAATTTGAATTTTTGAATATGCAGATTTCTAAAAATTGGAAAACCACCTTTTTCTCTATATTTTGGCATGTATTTAAATGCCATCGCTGTCATTTTAATTTCAAAGAAACTATCAGGTTGACTTTATCATAAGATCTTGAGGAACTTTCCCTAGATCGGAAGGTTCAAAACCAGGAACTTCAATGTGGTTGTGGTTTAAATACTTGTAATAGTAAAGAGTATGCATTTTGCATAGTTTTTACTCTTTTGCTACTAATCTATCCAATTGGGGTAAAGCTATGCAACTTAGAGGTTGTCTGAACTGGTGTCAGATAATGCTGAAATTCACAGTGCTCCAGTGTAAAATGTATTGGCAGGCATGGGGGAACTTTTATGGACAAAATAACAAATATTCCAAGAGAAATTACTGAAACATTCATTGCTAAGTAAATTCCTAATGTTGTTGCTATGCCACTGCTGTGAGAGTAAGGAGAGATGCTTGCAAATGTTTGTCCAACATAATGCCATTTAAGATTGAGTGCCATTATTGCTGAAGATAAAGTATCCCGGAGTCTATAATAAGCAGTCTTGATGTAGTTTCTTTGATCCATGAGATCAGTATGTGGTGGAGGTGGTTACTGTCCTCAAATAATACTTCATGTATGAAATGTGATTAACTATGTGAATGCTTTTTGTTAGCTTGTCCATACTGAAGTCCATTTCATGTTACGTCAGAGTGAAATGGTTGCCAAAGCAAGGGAGGAGGTCAGTAGTTTAAGGCATGCAAATGAAGACCTACTGAAGCAGGTGGAAGGACTTCAAATGAATAGGTTCTGTGAAGTTGAAGAGCTAGTATACCTACGTTGGGTCAATGCATGCTTGAGGTATGAACTCCGGAATTACCAGACACCAGCTGGAAAGATGTCTGCTCATGAGCTCAGTGAGAGTCTGAGCCCAAGATCTCGTGAGAAAGCTAAGCAACTGATGTTAGAGTATGCCAGATCAGAACATGGGCAGGGAGACACTGATCTGGACAGAATTTCTTCTCACCCATCTTCTCCTCGTAGCGATGACTTTGACAACACTTCTACAGATAGTTCCACTAGTAGATATAGCAGCCTCGGTAAGAAGCCTAGTTTAATCCAGAAACTGAAGAGGTGGGGAAAAAGAAAGGGTGATTCAAGTTCTCTTTCATCATCTGCCAGGTCTTTGGGGGGAGGCTCACCTAATGGGAATGGCATGGGCCATAGATCATCCATGTCAAGGGGTCCATTAGAAACCCTGTTGCTAAGGAATGCCGGTGACAGTTTGTCCATAACTACATTTGGAAAGAAAGAACCGGATCCTACTGAATCTCCAGAAACACTGAATCTTCCTCCCCTTCGAACACAAGTTTCTTCTGCTGATTCCCTGAACACTGTGGCATCTTCTTTTCAACTGATGTCTAAGTCAGTTGAAGGGGTGCTTGATGACAAATATCCTGCATACAAGGACCGGCACAAGTTGGCCTTAGAAAGGGAGAAGACAATCAAGGAAAAAGCTGAACAAGCAAGAGCAGAGAGATTTGGAGATGGTTTAAGTTTGAATTCAAGCACATTGCCACCTAAACTAGCTCAGATAAAGGAGAAGGTTGTTTTTGCTAATGATTCAAGTGAGCAACCTAGTGATGGTGAAAAAGTTGATTCCCAAGTGGTGAGCAAGATAAAACTTGCCCACATTGAAAAGAGGGCTTCAAGGGTGCCTAGGCCGCCCCCTAAACCTTCAGGTAGTGCTTCTAATGCTTCTCGTACAAACATTAATCTGTCAAATGGAATACCAGCCCCACCACCACTATCTCCTCCTGGTGAACCACCTTGCCCACCTCCTCCACCAGGAAGTCTGCCAGGAGGATCCAGTACTGGTGATAAAGTTCACCGGGCTCCTGAGATAGTTGAGTTCTATCGGACTTTGATGAAACGTGAGGCAAAGAAGGATACCTCTTCTTTGACTTTATTTACATCCGATGCATCAGATACTAGGAGCAATATGATTGGGGAGATTGAAAATAGATCAGCATTTCTTTTATCTGTAAGTAAACCTTTTTTTTTTTTTTTCCTTTTTGCTTGAGATCTTTTGTTTTCTCACTTTTCTTTGGAAACATACTTTGTGCCATTGATTGGGCTTTAAACTTAACAAAGAAAAAAACGTGTTTGGCTGGATGCAGGTGAGAGCTGACGTGGAGACACAAGGTGATTTTGTCCAGTCCTTGGCCACTGAAGTCCAAGCGGCTTCTTTTACTAATATAGAAGATCTAATGTTATTTGTAAACTGGCTTGATGAGGAGCTCTCTTTCTTGGTATGCATTCTGAGGTTCAGCTTTCATAATGTTACACTAGGTCAGGTATTGGATAAGTGTGAATTTGAGATCAAATCTGGGGCAGATTGCATAATAATAAAAAGACAACGGAAAATAAATAAATAAATAAAAGAAAATTGCTGTCAACACTATACAAAGAGCAAAGAGGCTTCAAAAATCTAAAAATCATTCTAGATGCTGCTTACTTGGTACTTAGTAGTTGGTGCAAAGTTGCATGGGCATGAACATGGGAGTTGGAATCTGATTATGTCCTTGGGTCTGACTCGGCAAGATGAGAAAACATGGACTCTCAAATGTCTATGGAAAAGTATATACTATTAAAATAATTCATATATTTTGAATTCCGACATTATTTACCTATAAAAATTGTTTCCTTTGTTACTGAGTGACATTTGACACCAAAAGTAGATTCATAGATTAGCTTTTTATTTATATCAAATAAACTAGGAGATAAAAAAAAATGTTATGTTGAAGTGCCCTCAAGAATCCATGGAGTTTTGGACTTGGACACATGCCCGACATGACATGTTGTCCATTTAAGAGAGTCCATGCAACACTGGTTAGTACATATTTCAATTTCACTAGTTAAGAGGTAATATAGTTGTTTATGAAAGGTGCATGTATATTTTTTTAAAATGTTTAATCAGGGATCCACTCATATATTTTTAGGGATTACTTCTGTAAATTTTACCTTTATTTTCTCATAGGTTGATGAGCGTGCAGTTCTCAAGCACTTTAACTGGCCTGAAGGGAAAGCAGATGCATTGCGGGAGGCAGCTTTTGAGTATCAGGACCTAATGAAGTTGGAGAAGCAAGTTTCCTCTTTTGTTGATGATCCCAAGCTCTCCTGTGAAGCTGCACTGAAAAAGATGTATTCGTTGCTCGAAAAGTAAGGAGTTTCTATTAATGAATGGGCACATTTTCTGTTGTCATTTAACGTTAGTAGGTCTAGAAAATTTCCGATCATGTTATAAAACTTGGCCTGCTATTCATTTTTTACTATGATACAATAATTATCAACTCAAATAAGTGAGCTTTCATTTCTTCTTCTCTTCAGGATGGAACAAAGTGTCTATGCACTCATACAGACACGGGACATGGCCATTTCTCGATACAAGGAGTTTGGAATTCCAGTTGATTGGTTGTTAGATTCTGGTGCAGTGGGGAAGGTGTGTTTCATTTCTGATTATGCTATACATTTCTCAAAAATCTAAGAATCAACAATCTGTGAAGGCTAATAGTATTGTTTAAGTTATTAAGGAAACAAAGGAAAATGAAGAAAAAGAAGAAAGATGCAAAATCAGATGAAGGGAAACTTTGACGGTACCCATGCAGGGTTTTTGCAAAGAACTTGTTTGGATTTTTAAGTTTACTTGAAGAAACATATAGACTCTCGGGTTTCCTCTCATCAATCGAGGAAGTGTACCGTATACTAGCTAGAGATTCTTCTTTTTGCCATGAATTGGTTTAAAATCATTATAGTTATGGACAGTATGCTTTTAACAATAAAAAGAAGGAAATTTCAAAAAGAAATGGAAGTGAGAGAAAACTCCAGTGTTTTGGCATACATCATCTAACAGAAACAGTGAATTAAATTATAATAAGAAACCTTTATTCCGTACTGCAGGTCAAGCTCTCATCTGTACAGTTAGCGAGGAAATACATGAAACGGGTGGCATCGGAGCTTGATGCCATGGATAGACCTGAGGAGCCAAACAGAGAATTTTTGCATCTGCAAGGTGTACGCTTTGCCTTCCGTGTTCATCAGGTCAGAAATTATGGTTTTGCACTCATTTCCTCTAGTATATCAAAAACCTGATTTTGAAGGTTTAACCATTCCATTGGATGCAATAAGCAGCTATATTGCCATAGTATTTAAATATATCTGAAAACCATTTTGTAGCCAAGTAGGAAAGAGAGTAGTTTTTTTTTTTTTTTAGTAGAACTCTTACTACCAAAAAATTCTGAATATCAACCAATATTATAAATGTGAAAACCAGGTGATATTCGTAAAAAAATCAAAATCATTGGGGGTGGGGGGTGGGGTTGATTGGTCAAAAGCCCTTCTGGTATCATTTTTTCTTTCCGGCATAATAGATTTACCCTTCCAATTTAAATCAAACTTTTAGCATGCTATGATGGAGATCGACTTCTATTAGAGCAAGTCAGTACTCACATTGATGATGCACAATTCGGCTGATCTTAGCTGTCAACGATCTTGCCTCTGAACTGAGTGGCAGGGACCTGAAACGGAAGGAGAAGAGAAGCTCCGGGGAGAACCCGGCGTAAGGGCTCCGAAGCTCAAGTTAGAGTCTTTCAAAGGCAAGATAGACCAGATAGCGCAAAAGTTAGCATACCTCGTTCCTGGGGGGTAGGAGCCTTTTATAACCACCTCGCGAACCCTTGCCAGTTCGGATGTCATTTCCTCTGGCCGGACAGAACCGCCACTGCTCCTTTTGTCGGAGCCATCTCTGTGGCTAGTAACGACGGTTGCAGGTGGCGGTGGCAGGAAGCCGTTTGAAATGCGGCTGTCAGGCGTCAGATCCCAAATCAGTCAGG